GATAGGACAAGGTCTGGAAATCAAACTTCGAAGGTGTCACAGCAACTTGGCCACCCCATCGCGTGAATCTTTTTCCGCCACTTTGTCGGCATGAAAACCGCAGACCAGTCCAATGTGTGATTTGTGTGTCTGCCGGGGCACTTTTATCAGGGCTGGGCAAAAATACTCATATCCCAAAATGAAAAGCAACGAAAGCCTCGATGATTGCTGGTCAAAGCAATACTTGTACAATTCTGCCTTTGGCCAGTCCCGCATGCAGGTCCACACAAAGGCGTGAACCCACAAACTGTGTCAATTTTGTTTGGAATTCATTCATCCAAACTTCTGTACCAATGGCAGGCTCATTTGTAGATTGTACATTTAAAAGCGAGCATGTGCCAGAGCAATTCTCATCAACTTGAAACAGAAGGGCACTCAACAACGTTCAGCGCAAAGTGTCAGAGAATTTCAACGAACGGAGACCACATAGCCGGGCATGAGTGTCCAGATGGAGAATGGCCTTCCAAGATTGGAAGTGGAATCACGGCACTTCCGCCAGAATGCCTTGAAACTTGATACCCGGGAGCTGAAATTCCCCTGAAATCATGTGAACTTTGAAACGTTGCGCCAAGTGCTGGCACCTGCATTTTACCAGAGTGTTTCCGCCAAAACCAGGATATATAGCACCGTACTCTTTGGACGAGAATACACGTTGCCATTCTGAGCAGTCTGCAGCACAGAAAATCTCAAGATGGTCTCTTTGTGTCAATACTTCGCTGAAAACGATGCCCATCAATTGTGCACCAAACTTGGGAAGTCTCCACTCAATCCAGTCGCCTGCTTGCAGCTTGCAGCCTGCATTGCCTTCTGCAATCACATGAGCATATGGCGCATAGTCTCCAGACAAGGCATAGCTGACAGAGACCCAGTTTGCCAGAAAGATCGGTCTGGACAGCGAAGGTTCCTTGGGCCACGACTTTCCTTGTGAGGTCTGACTTTTAGAGAAGGTATCGAAGCGACCCTTGACACACCGTATGAGGTCTGTGGAGTGTTCACCACGTTTGCGTTTGGGCGTCTTTGCCATCGAGACCCAGCGGTCCACAAGTGTCTGGCTGCTGATTTGATCTGGAGGATCTGTCCACGTTTTGAGAAGGGACAGCAACTCCTCATCTGTAACGCACATCAAATTGGAAGAGAACACCTCTTCCAGCAGTTCATCTCTCACGAGGGGTCTGGTTGCAAAGACCGTTTTGGCTTCAGTCAATATGAGATCCTTGCTTTTTTGACGAATGTCCTGCACTTGAAATTCATCTGCACTTTGGAAAATGGCCCAAACATTCTTCACATTCATGTTGTCCTGCAGCCGATGAAAAGGGTTCGGGTGAACACCCCGCAAATGTGTCGAATTGCAGTGCAAAACTGTCCAAACGACGATGTTCTTAAGATATCTTAAGTTCTGTTCTGCAGCATACAGATATACCTTGGACATGCCGGACCACTAATTCTTATTTCAACACAAAGGAGGTCACCGGATCAATCCTCCACCATCTTCAGGCAAAGGTTCTTAAACTGCAAGACCTGGTACTTATCCGCAATGACAATTACTTCGCAAAGCCTTTCGGGTGATGCGTCCACAGTGCCCTTGTACAAGAACTTCAAGAAGGTCTCAACCGCAAAGCTGGAGAAGTCCTTGATGACCACCTGGCAAAACGCGAAGCAAGCTGAGGTGGGCCATGTGTCATCTACTGCAATGGGTGTGTCACCGTCGGACATATGTGAATTCCCAAATACGTGGGTTCCCATGATCCCTAGATCTTATCAAAGCAATCAACCGAAAGTATCCGAACATGGGGTTTTGACATGTTCTGCTGTTCATTTCTAGAAGTGGAGGAGCCAAGGGTAATCTACAAATTCACTAAGCATGGATCCTTGTACTGCGATCACTTCCCTGCTGTACAGTGCACAGTGTCGAGCTACTGAGAACCCACATCTACTTATTGAAACCTTTTAATTGGGTTGTAAGATTCCCCTGTTCCGGAGTAGTCAGGCCGCCAGGCCTCTTTCTTGGTGCTCTCCACAAAGTCCTGGCTCAACATCTTCTCAAAGACCTGCGATCAGCGACAGAAAGTCTCCTGGCTGGGTTGCCCCTGTTAATCGATTTGTTGGTCTGTTGATCATCTTCTATAACCCATAGGATCCATGTATGGTATGCTAACATTTGGGGTATATTGATGATAAATGTTACCATGTATAGCATACATGGATCCTATGGGTAATGGAAAACATATTGATGACGCACACGTGGAATCATGATGTTGAATAAGCGGCCATGGAGCAATTGGTCAAGAAAAGTGATGAACTCCCAATCTGGGAGCATCATCCGGATGGAACATAGAACTTGTCACCTGGCATCATGTGTCATCCCAATCATCCCATAGGAATGGAAACAAAAAAAAACAAAATACTTCCAAATACTTGAACATTTTAAACACACACATATATATATATATATATCTATCACTGGATTGGTTTAAGGGAAATGTTGTAGGAATCCTCAACCAATTTGATGGGGAAAACTGGGAAAACCATGGCTGGTTCGTGGTATAAGATTGGATCATCATCTCAACTATTGGGGAAAACAAAAAATGTTCCAAACCACCAACCAGTTTAGTAGTATAGCAACAACAAATTGATGGTTTGTACCCCCCATTTATGGTAAGATTGGGGCTGGTGGATCCTCTTGCTTGACTCACATTAGTCTTTCAGGACCACCGATTTGGCCAATTGATTTCCAAGAATATGGATGTAAGCAGAGTGAAACCCTGTCAATGCATTGGTTTGAGGGATCTACAATTTACCGGATATTCCATGTCCTTTTTGCTTACCGTCAAGAATGTAACAGGGTTCACGGGTCACATTTTCCCTTCAACCAGCCACCTCTGACCACGCCGAGAGGATCACGGACCAGACTTTGAACTCCGTCCGTTTGGGCTCAGCGGAAGTGTCGCCTTCACCTGGGAGGTGTCGGCCGTCCCGAAAAAATGACGAGCAAGTTGGTTGCTTCATGGGGATTCCAACAACAAATAGTGAAAATATATGAAAATAAGTGAAAATCATGGGAATATCATGGGAATAGCATGAGGAGATAGTAGAATATGGGTGACCCGGTGACCCCCCTAATAATAAAGGGCTACAAAGTGATTATGTTTGAGGCTTATGTTTGGGGCTTATTGACCGGGGCTTATTGACCACCAACAACCAGGTTTATAATTAAGGGTTAGTTAGTTTATTAGTCATCTGTCATTGGGGGGGCTGGCTGCGTGCCAATCCTTAGTGGTTTAAACCCTGTGGGTCATCATTCCAAAACACAGGGAACCGATAGAAATATACCACCAACATCCAACAACCAGCAAGGGTAACTAGATGAGTGTGGAGGACCAAACACACGCTGGCGGAAACGAACATACATTACACCCTGTTCCTTCTCTGAAAAAGACAACAATCAAAGTATTTCTGGGCCGCAGTCTTGCTTTTCATCTGCTTTTGGGCTTAGAGCTTAAAACACTACAAATCCCAAACTCCGCGTGTTCAAAGTTCAAACCTCCACCTCTCACCATCCATGCCCTACCAGGTGCATAAGCCCCCTTCACGTCACAGGGCCATGGCACCCTGACGTTCCTCCACCACCACCGTGAAGTCGCCACCCTGGCCGAAGGTTGGTCCCAATTTCTCGGCCACCAGGTGCTTCGCCATGGTCCGAGATGGCGGATTTTTGTGTTTGAGAAAGCAAAATGTGCTGCCAGGGTTCAACGATGTTAGTTAAAGGTTCGTTGTTTGATGAGGCTGCTTTACACCCGGAAGATTGAATGATCTTGAAATATCTTGAATCTATCAGCCACTTCACAAACTCACGACAAATCTGCTCCCCCGGATATCCAGCCCCAACTTTGGATCCTTGTGGTTGCTTCAAACCACTAACCACACCTGGCATCTGCCCAAAGCCATTCCGAATCTGAGGGTCCTACATTTCTTGAAGCTCACAGCTCAGCCATCAATGCTCAACCTGCAGGCTTGAGCAAGAAGCCATGGTTCACTGAGCCAAATGAACTGGAGCCAGCGACTTACCTTGGAATGGTGCGTCATCTATGTCTAACTCGGGTACATCCTGGATGACATATTCAAATCTGGCAAAGAGATGATCATCTGAACAGGCTTGCGCCGTAGAGACAGACTACCTGTGGAACATGACACTATTTAACCCCAGCCAGCAAGAGCGAGCAAAATGATGCAACCAGTGTGAGTTCTTGAATTGGAGGGTAGTTTTTGAACGAACCCAAATCTCCAATCTCCAGATTTCACATGGAGATCAGTCCAAACGAGCACGCCTTGAGTTCAATGGCGAGAAATGGACATGAAACTTGAGGGCTAAAGGCAGCAATTGAAGACCATTGACTATGACCACAGACCCTTGGGTACAGCAACCACCTTCCAAGAAGCCACACGTTTGGTTCCACACTTTCCGTGTCTAAAAAAAAATGCAGCAATGTTCAAGTACTTAAGCTAATGACGAGTGGTGAGGGCCCAAACAATGAGCTCAGTAAAACATGGCCAAAACCAACGGGTTTGCATTTTCCTGTAGATCCTGGTAGATTTTAAGCTTTCAATGCTGGATTGAAATATCATACTTTGTCACCAAAATTCACCAGGCACATACCTGCCCACTAACACATTGTGCATTACGCATTGCATCCCCAAATGTCCAGCCATGTAGCATCCCAGTTGTCATAAACTAGACAACGAGGTGAAGCAACGTGTGGAAATGGGACTGTGGTCATTTGCCCAGCAGCACTACCAATCAAGCAGTTTCTGCAGACATGACTCTTGTTCTCGACAGCAATGTTGCAATCAGATATGATATATATAATCCAAAATCCAAACAATATAGACTATTGACATGAACTTATCGAACCAACCCAAACATGCCAAAACTGTAGATCTCACCATTGATAGCTTCGCCATGGTTCGCCCCTTGAAGCCCTCCTCTAAAGCGACCGTGGCGTGAATCGTTTCTTTTCTGCTGGCAATCTCGTCCAAGTCGACCTCTCTACGGCCGAGAACCTGGTGACAATGGCCGAAGCCGGTGTCAATGGCCCGAAGAGCTGGGGGTTATGGTCTCTCTCTCTCTCTATATATATATATATTTTATATACATGATATGTATTGAAAGTAGTAACTGAATGTTAATGAATGGTTAATGGATTCGATGTTTAATGGATGTTAATAGATATGTTGAACTATAATAACTGGCTGTTAATGGATGTGAATGGAATTGATAAACCAACGTATGGTCACTATACCGATGGCAGGTCGCTGGAAGCAAACCATATTTGATGACCAAACGCTGCAGGAAGCCATGCTTCTCAACCCCCAAATATAGGGCTTGTCCCTTCAATTCCTGGGAAAGTTTGGGTCCGTGTTGCAAAGATAGGGCTTGTCCCTTCAATTCCAATGCAGGAAGTATCTGGGATGGTCATCTGATGGGTATGATGATATCTTCCTCACAAAGACAGGATTAGTTCGCCAGGGTAACTTCTTCGGTGGATTTGCTCGTGAAAACTCCAGTCCAGGGATCAAGTCAACTTTGTCCAGTGTGCGTTGCGCCGTGTGCGACTGAATCAACTTAGCAGGCAAAACCATCTATAATGTATATTAATGTATCATGTTGTCCTGTCTTTGATGGGCAAACGACAAACAAATCTTTGGGGCATACCATCAAGCAAGTACAGAAATGAGCCTACTAGCCTCATGGCATCCAACTGGCAACAAATTCATCGGTGTGGGGACCATCCAGTGCACAGGCTTTCCCACCAAGCAACGACTTCACATGCTGCATCCAGCGATCAATGTTCTGATGCCTTGGACAGAGTTTGATTACATGTTGGACAATACCGATATCAAAAGATATGCTCTAGGACCCAACATATTCTATGTACACTACACCAAACAATTGCGTGCAAAACACCCATACGGTATATGCTTCACTATACACATATGAACAATATTGCACAATGCTTAAAAACTAAAGCGCACGTTTCTTGACTCAGACCCAGATATGGCAATAAAAAAATCACAATGTCACTCATAAGTGCAGGACATCAGCTCGTTTAGGGGATGCACATAACTCATCACATAACACATAGTGAATAGCAACATCCACAAGTGACCCAGGGACCCGCCACAGTATGATGGTCTATTCTCTTTGAGGATGAGGACAGTCACTTGTCAATTTTGACCAGCTGCATAACATAAGTAGACTTTAAGCCAAATAGCTGGTCATGATTCATCAACCCAATGAGAAGACTTGATTTTATAAACTTCTATCTGCACAGGACCTGATCTTTATGCTCCGCAACCTGCCACAACACGTACAAGTCACCGAACCTCACATGTCCATTTTACGTTGGACATGATCCAAAAATATTGATATGCAAGCGCCTTTGGGATAATTGCCTAATGGTTCATCCATTTCTTCTTGATTCTTACATATGTTATCATATGTTTACGGTATCCATTGTTTCATCCATGCTAGAATGCCCACCCTTTTGTTCATCATCGATTTCTCTTTGTTGTTTATTCAATTTGTCATCCATTCCCCAAGAAGACCAGCTCAACACATGCCATACGCTGCCTCTGAACTTCCTTCCCCTGCAGGTCTTGTAGCATGTCCAAGTCCGCCCGCGAGGGAAAGAACCCCAACACCTCGAAGGGGTCAGAGATGGCAGTTACCACAGGATTTGTTTCCAAAATCAATGGGAACTTGATGGGGATAATTTATGGGATTTCATGATCAAATTGGTATTTAGATGTATTTAGTGGGGATATAATGGGATTGTAGTATGGTTATCAGAGTTGCTCCCAACAACCAAAAAATACTGTCTGGATAAAAGGGTACAATGACCAAGTTTCCAGTTTCCACTCGTGTTAAATCATTTACCTATGTGTATACTGTATATATATATATATAGTACATAATATATATATATATAGTATATATATATACTGTATATAGTAATGCTTTGGTGCAACCCTGAAAGGTTGGTATTTACATGGGTTTACCACCAATTCAGGGCCGTTTCAATGGTGTTCACAAGATTTTCGAAAGCAGATCTTTTTTTTCTATGGGATGAACCACCCCATCAGTTCAGATCACCTGCAGATCAGCCCACTCAATTCATCTCTACACCATGGTAGTGATAATCTGCTATAGATCACAACAGAGTGATTGTTTTAGAACTTCTGAGTGGGCATGGAACACTAACAGTGGGTATTTTCAACAACAATAGACTACAATGAGTCAAACATGTATGCAATTAACAACCTGACATCATTCGAACCATCATTGTGAATACATCTGACATCAAATCCCCCATACTACGTATATATAAGATACTAAGAGTATCATGCTAATACTGATGATGACAATAGCATACAATCACTTATATCAGGATAATCAACACAATAATACATACCAATCTGGTTGGTGGTGCCATAATCATCTTGAAAAATCTGAAAGTCAATGGGAAGGATGACAACCCATATATGAAATGGAAAATAACAAAATGTTTGAAACCACCAACCACCAATGGTGACAAAACAACATACAAATAACACCCATCCCCTTTTTCCCCCGAGCTGCATAGGGCTGATCTTGCAATCTTCGCTCCAACTCCTGGCCGGGCATCCAGGACCCCTGGATTTACGTGATATTTTCGAGGGAAAACCATGGAGAACCTGATTTTTTTTGTAGAAAAAAACATGTGAGAAAACCATGTTTGTTGCCATGAAGCATGGGGGGTTCCAAAAAGAATATATTTGAACTATGAAAATCTATGAAATCATGTTTGGGCATGAGGGACCAGCACCAAATCCGATCACCAAGTGCTTCCGACCCTCCCTTCATCTTTGCCATTTCAAATCATCATAAATCATCATTGATCATCATAGATCATCATTTAGCCTGATTCTCATGAGGATCAACCCCCCCCACGCATGACTCCCTAATATTAGATTATTAGATGATTAACAAGCCTTTGTAATTTATTAATGCGCCTGTTGCCGACGGGGATGCCATTGAGCTCCGTTGCTCCTCCAATGAATCGACAGGACAGGACGCCATGGGGAGTTGCGGCGGCGGGTCCGGCACGGACTTCGAAGGAGGGGCCTGACATGTGGATCAGGTGGTTTGAGGCCAGCAATTCATGCCATTGATGAAAAAGGTGTTGGGTCGAAAGGTCCACATTTCCCACCAACAAAGCATTGTTTCTTATACATATTAAAATAAAAAACAGGACTCATAGGCAACTGTTTGAGTTGGTTGTTTGACTGATAGTCAAGCATAAGGGGGGTTGGCGGTGTGATGTTGGACGACTCGTGGATCATCATTCCATCCTGATTGGACAAAAACAGACATTGTTGTGTCAAAAACATCAAAGTGAAGGCACACCTGTGAAGACACATCTATATAATCCATATCAATCCATATCATACAATTATACAATACTTAGCCATCACATTCCATAACCCATTTACCTCCCGAAAAAAGGTGGTATATTGTATGACATTGTATAGAAATGACTAGAATGCATCCCTCCATCAAAATCCCCCGGCACTTAGTCGCCTTGGAAGTCTTCTGCGAAGCACTGCGAACTTCGCGGACGAAAGGCATGAAGTCAAGACCTGGGCTGGGCGGCTGGGCTGCGAGTGTAGCCAAAGAAATGGGGTAATATCAATCCACAAGCACCTAGACTCTATATAGATCTATATAGACTCTTATCACAACAAAAAGTGCCACCCTCCATCCAAACCATCCCCAGAAAAACTATTTACAGCAAATTCTTGGTACGTTTACCCGCTTGATTAAATTTTTTAGAAAGCAACGCTTAATATTGTTAAGTACAAGTATTAGTGGGAAACAAACCAGCAGCTAAACCAAAGCCTACCCAGAATGTGAGGTGTCATCCTGTCATCCTACCCACAATATGTCAGCACTGGACGCGTTGAATCTTCAGGGAGAGGATATCGGAGAATATGATATGGCTTTTGGAACTCAAATATAGGCAGCGAGCTCAACTCTTCTTTCTTTCTTGCTTTCTTGCTTTCTTTCTGTTTTTCTTTCTTTCTTTATAATGTGGGTAAAACAAACAGAAATCATCACGCAGTCATCACCATTTTTATAGGTGGTATGGTTACCATTCCCAGTCATGGCTGGTTTATTGGACCAAGGAACCCATGAAGGGAACCAGGGCTGTTGGCACCTTCACACCTCGGTGGTTGTTGAACAAGGACCCATGTGGCTTTTCGGGAGTCCTAACGGCAACCTTGCCTTCTACACCAAGCTAACTGGTGGTTATATATGTGAATTAATGGAAACTACTGGACTAAATCTGGACTATATGTTGGCGTCACCTGTTTAGATATATATATATATACATATATATATATGACGGACTACCTGATTTTAGCATGCTGGGATGTGTGTTTCATAAGGGCATGCTGGGATTCCAAACCGCCAGTGGAAACCGTGTATTTTGCAAAGTCAAACGTTTGTGTCGGAAACGTTCGACCGTTGTTCAATTGATCATGAGAGATAGATCCCCATCATCCTGTCTGTGAAAGTGGTACAGCCGTAAAGTCTCCAAAGAAAACGTCCTATTTAGCTAAGCAAAGGAAGCTTGTGATGGTTTCCGCCATAGAATGCCATAGTGCGGTAGACCATCATTTCTGATGTCGTTCACCATTAACCAGTTGTGGCAAAGCCCTTTCCTCTCAGCACACCCACACCACTCTGCAGCAAGTGGCCGGTAGGTGTCTGGTAAGTTTCCTAAGAGGCTGGAACACTGTCTGCGCAAGAAGGGGCAGTTCAAATGTTGAGTCCCAAGCTATCAAGCTATAGATGGAAAAATAACACATTTGCTCAACTTGGCTTATCCGCTGGAAGTGAAGCCTGGCAACGGAACCTGACCCATTTACATGGATCACTCTATAGATGATGTTTCCATAATTATCCATAGTTAATGAATACGTTACAACATAATAAACAGAAACTTTCAGTGAATATGTTGTTTACAAATATCTTTCAGTTATCCATCTGTTTACTGAAAATAAACATATCTGATTATTACAAATACTGGTGGGTGGTTTCAACCCCTCTGAAAAATATGAAAGTCAGTTGGGATTATTCTTCCCAACCAGATGGAAAAATAAAAACATGTTCCAGACCACCAACCAGAATATATTACAACATATCCTGATTTCAACACGATATCAATGGGCTTTCCATTGCAGCTTGGATTCCCACAGAGAGTACTATGGCTAGGGTCCCATGAGAACCTCTGTGATTTCTTGTTGTTTTTAATGACAACCCCCAAACATTATAACGGAGCTCAACATGCTCAACCACCTTCCGATCCGTTGGAAAAACTATCACATTATATCATCACTAATCCAACATCTGCTTGGTGTTCCCACAATCCCATCAATTCTCAAAAAAATGTCCCTTACAACGCTTACACTCTCATGTTCATGCCGGAAAAGTCAAGAGTTCCAGACCGAGTCTCCAAGATGCAACACATGCATCGCCCAGAGGCCACCAGGGTGGAGTTCAGCATGTGAACGAAGCGTGGCTTCTCCTGGAGATCCGACAAGAAAAAACTGTAGAGATGGGATGAATATCGGAGAGTTGGAATGATTAGCATGATTGATCATGATTGTATATTCATTGTATCATCATGTTGATGAATGGATATGAATGGAATGATTTATCATAACATTAGCATCTACTCTAGTAGAAGGAATATGATCCTAGATTTGGAATGATTAGCATGGATTATAGATTTGCAAGAGTTCACGATTGCATTACTTTAAAAGAAAATCACCTAATCTTCCAAGTCCCCAAAACGTTGAAAAGGCTACGCGTATCACGCCCTGAAGGGTATGGTCATCCCACCTTCCGAAGCCGTGAAAGCTTGAGATTTAGCTGCGTCAAAACAATGTATCCTTCAATACGGTAGTTTCATGTAGTTTCTCTCTAGGTAAGTGCATTGACCTTTATCTTTGATAGCTTTTAAGTAGGCATTGCTAGGCCATTTCTACCTACAAAGCCAGCCCACTATGGACCACAGTAACCCCTTTATGGGGAAACTCAACTGGACCGACTGGACCCCTCAGCGCTGGCTTCATCCTTCACGTTGCGACTGCGGATGTCCAGGGCTCGAGATTGAAAGTCCGTGCAGTTGGAACAGGAAACCAACTCTTTGTACTCGCCCTGGCGTAAAAACGCCAAAATCGCCAGAAGGGGCCCCTTGTTTTGCAAAAAAAAACTCCATGAAACCATCAGCAGGGCGGATAATCCTCAATTTCACGGGATGGATGGTTTTTTTCGTGGAAAATTGGGATAACCAACCATGAACTTTTAACCATAAAAAACACGTTTTACCACCAAAAACAAGGGCTTCCTTCAAAGTTTCCCTTCAATTCTGGGAGACGTTTGTTCAAGACTGACATGCGGATGGACTCCAGATCGAATCAAGAATGGCAAATCCCAGAGCTGGCACAATCTGTTTCATTGACGGGGATATCTTGATAGGAATGCTGGGTGAAAAGGCGTGCAAGCCATCTAAGGGTTGGGGATATGGGGAAATAGAAGCCAGCAACATGTCAATCTGAAATGACAAACCTGTTTGTTTTCTTCTTGGGTAAACGGGAGTTATAAGATCAGAATCGTACAGAGCAGTTTGCTCATATCAGACCATGAGAATGTCTACATGGCTTGGAGGGCAGAACGGCAAGCATCAACTTCTCATATACCGGCGATGAATTGGAACTTGGCCAATTGAATTGCATCAGGAGGTAGCTATTTTCGCCATGATACTGTGCATCAGCGAAGTAAAAAAAACAACAAGTGTGAGGAGTATCACAGAATTTCAAAACACCTGAAAGCATGTGGGGCATTTCCCAGAATCTATATATGCCGTTGTTCGGTTTTCCAAATATATACAGGACGCAAACAGGACATGAGACTGTGTTTTGGCCACACTTCTTCAGCATCTGCCTGGCTTGGAAACCAACCTTCCAAGTCAAACTTCATCACCGCCTTGGCTGATTCGGAAAGCTTTCCTGCAACATCTCGGCAATGATCAACCTGGAACCAGCCCCTGGTTCATCCCTAGATGGCCAACACTATGCTATAAATGATGTTCATCCACTTACATGGAGGTTTCCTAAAATGGGGGTACCCCGGGTACCCCCAAATCATCCATTTTAGTAGGATTTTCCATTATAAACCATCCATTTGGGAGTACCCCCATTTCTGGAAACCCCCACATCTCAAATCAAACCGTGATATCCCATGTTTGTTCGCTATTCACCAAGGTTTACCGTTTAGCCACTAGATTTGGCCCCGATGTTCCACCATTGTTCCATCCAAGCAGTGAACATTGAAGCGATGGGTTGGTAGGGGGTCCAGACGAGTCCAAATCGACAGGTATCTTCATTCAAGCAACTCAGTTAAGTGATGGGTTCATGGAAGTTTACCGTAGATATACCCTCTGGTTATTTAACATAGCCATGGTATATATGGCCCATTTATAGATGATTTTCCCAGCTAGAAACCTCCATTTATTAGGGATTTTCCATGGTTATGGTAAATAACCAGATGGTACCCACCTATGTTTCTTTTGTGCCTTCCAGTATTTTTCCAGTGAATCAACCCCAAAACTGACCCGAAAACTGGCGTCCCTCTGAGCATACCAACCGCATCATTGAGTTCACCAGAGACCACCTTCACCACACCTCAGCCACCGATGACCGCCTGGGTCCGGGGAGGTTTAAGGATTTGGCATGATTACCCTCTGGTTATTTAACATAGCCATGGAAAATCCCTTATAAATGGAGGTTTTAATGGGGAAATCATCTATAAATGAGCCATCTATACCATGGCTATGCTAAATAACCAGAGGGCAATTGCCAATGGGCCCACAGAATGATGAACTTTAGGAGCTTCAACCATCCATTGCACGTGTTATTACATGTTTATCATGTTTGAATATGTTTGAGCCATTCCCATTCAAGAAACAAATGTGGAACCGACAATAGAGAACCAACAGGAAAGTAACCAAAGAAATCTAATGTTTTTAGCAAATCAGAGGTTGGCTTGAGGAAACGTGAAGGTTACTGACCAAAAAGAACCAAACATCATGGACGTTTGAAGACCCAGGATGGTTCGCAACTCGGTAGCTTTGCTAAGATACCCTGAAGATTGCGCTACAGCAAAGACCCAACCTATCCACCTAAGTTTCACCAAAGGGATACCATGTCTGGATTTGTGTGGAAAGAAGGTACCCCAAAATTCCAGAGATGAGCATCATCTTAGTAGCACGATGGAAATATACTGCAATACTGCAACATATTTAGGATTAATCCCTCGTTTGGTCAAACCCACCCACATCATATATTGTTTGATGGTTCCGATTATTTCCAATTCGTTCCCATTATATGTATCCATCAGATTGCATCCCATGATATACCATGATATCCCCATAAATTTCGGTTGGGTTTACACAGCCCACAGCAGGAACCTGTCTGTGGCTCCGACGGTAGGAGATGCCCAAGGCCTCATAGAAGTCCTGTGCTATGCGTAGCATCTCCAAATGCCTCGGGCTCAAACGGCCAGTCTTTTGAGTGTGTCTCAAGATGCGGGATATCAACAATTGCAGTTTTCACTGCAGAAAATAAGGATACAGTAAACGAGAATAAACCAAAAGAAAGCATAATTCCAATTCTTAAGACAAGCCCGTCCTTTGCCGCGAAGGCCGCAGTACCTGTTTCGCTGTGTTGCAACTACATCACGAGACTTTGCTCGTGTCCTAGACATCGCGTAGGATGCCTTCGAAACTCAGCCACCAGGGATTGAACTCCCCGGAAATCACATTCACTTTGAAACGGTGAGTGAGGACGTCACATCTGCATGGAACACTTCTATCTTTCACTATGCCAGTGTGATCCTTTGAGGAGAACGCCAAATGCCAGTCTGAGAAATCTCCAGCGCAGAAGATCTCAATGTGAAGGTCTGATCTCAGTGCTTCTTTAAACCTACCAGGGGCAGTGAAATGTCCAATCTAAGTATCACATAGCATCATCAACAAACGGGGCTATGGTATATATATATATGAATAACAATTAAAAATTGAAGGATATATTTCGAATATGTTTGAATCCTCAATATGGGGCATTGACCAACCCTGCCTGAGGGCAAGCAGGTGCAAAGCAAACTGGGTCAACTGATATTCGATCCAGCATTCTGCTCGCAGTGTTGCACCGCCAAAAGGACAACCACCACTTGCAAGCTCGTAGAGATTCTTGGAAGCGTTGGCATCCCTTGAAGACAGAGAAACGGAGACCCAGTTGGCCAAATAGATCTTATGCTGATAAACCCAATCCTTCGATTTGCTTAATGGGGCCCACAATCATATTATATACATCAGCTCCTTTTCCCCCAAACGGTGGACTTACCACTGGGAAAATCAAAAAGGCACAACTTTCAACAGGAATCATTGCCGTGAGAATGCAGCAAAGAAGGAATCCCTCATGTGCTCCGGCACCGTTTCCGATGGACACAAACTTGTTGATGAGAGTCCTTTCCAAGGTTTCTATATATATATAATATATATATATATTATATAATATATATATATATATTATATATATAATATATATATATATATATTATGAGACCGACCCTCGCCCAAACAAAACTAGTTGAAGGACCACCATTATATGCACCAAAATATCAATGTCACTACTTCACCAAAATATTGTTCATTATAATTCCCCAGTTGGGTTCGTCAAAAAAAACGCATATCCCAAAACTTAAATTGTTTATCAGCGCATGGTTCCTATTAAATGACCATTTGATGAGGGTACCACATGTTCAAACAGACCCAGTGGTCGAATACCCAAAGGACCACCCGTAGGGGTCCAACCTGAAGGTGCCACATGCAAACAATGGAGGTGTCAATGGCAAAACTGGAGGTTTCACCTGCAAAAAACATTGTTTTTTTCACATTGTTAACCGCAAAAAGTACTATCATTGGATTCCCATGGATTCCCGTAATTAGATATCCAATGACCAGCCACACATCCAAAAAAAAGGAAGTCAGTTGGGATGATCGTCCGGTTACCACCGCACGCCGCAGCGAAGGGCATGAAACAACACTGGATATACCAAGGCCTGAAAAAATGGGTACGACGTACGGAACCACGAGTTGCGTTGCTTTTATGCGTTTTGAATAGTAGGTTTGATGTTTTTTTTTGCATTGGAGCTTCACTGCCCTTTAAGTTGTTTACAGAGTGAAGGCCATATGAAAGACAGTCTAATGCTCAGCAACATACCGCCAATGTCAGCCTGTCCTTCGACATGTTAGAAGTTATATGGACTTCAGCTGTCCAATAACCATCGCCAAAAAGGATGGCCCAAAATAATCCAAAAACTATATCTAGCAGTGTTGGGTGAAGCTCCTCGTCTAAATCTGAGTCTTCGCCCTTCAAATTCCCACTAACTCAACCTCAAACGCTCATAACTTTCGGGGCTACAACTTTTAAATCTTTTGACACGTTGTATTGGTGAACAAAATATGACTCACCAGCTCCGAAAATTAGAAAACCCCACTCCCAATCACTGAAAACCTGAAACACCACCGTTTTCCTCACCCAAAACATGCAAAAACCACTGTTGCAAGGACACCGCCATCCCCAGTGCCATCCCCCGCGCCGTTGCTGGCGTCGCCGGGAACGGCCGCCGCGGCCACGGAGTCCTCCACCACCACGGTGAAGTCGCCGCGGCCGAAGGATGGGCCCAGCTGCACCAACTGGGGGCGATCCGCCATGGAGGGATGTCAAACGATGTCAATGTGTTGCTGCACTGTTTTTTGGCAGTTGAAACTATAGGAAGTTGAAAGTCGTGAATTATGATTCTGCTTGAAGATTCGAGACCTGGAGTTGAATGGTGTTGGAATTCAAGTGAGGAATGAAACAGCATTGCTCAATGTCTGATCATCTTTGGAGGACAGGCGCGGCCCTGAGGAGTATACAACACTGTCTAACCTCGTCATTTCGAAATGAGAACGATGTTGACACTCCCCCCAAAGAGGGATCACCATATAAACAGATGAGATAATATAGGGGAAACCATAACACATAGAGAATATATATATATATATACAGTGTGTGTATATATATATAATATGAAATTATATGACTATATAGAGAATCCCATAATACAGTTCTTGGTATGCAAGGATTTCATGCCAAAAGCAATGTTCCCTGGCTCCAACATCTGCTTCATGGCAAACATGGACTCAGTGAGTAAGGACTCAGTAACCTACTAACCAAAGGTTGGCAAACTGGTTGGTGGTTTCCCAAAAACATAGAGGGAACCGAACAAAGATCATCCAGAACTGTTCATTTTGAACGGAGAAACCAATGGTTTGGGGCACCACTCTTTTAGGAAACGCCTCCCTCCCGGCTCCATCTGAGGGGTCCCTGCATCTCTTGAGACTTCTCATGGTCTCCGCTGGTAATGCAGAATTGTTCCACCTTTTCAAACCTCAAAGGTCTCGAAATCTAAGCAAGAAGTTTTCGACAATGGGTAGTAGAAAAGGGGTGGTAATCATATTAATAGCTCTCAAGATCTGAATGTTTCAAGTGGAAGTGGAGCCCCAGGGGTGCAAGCACCCGATGGCAAAACATGTGGTGGCCCTCATAAGCTTGAATGATTCTTAGCTTCAAATAAGGTTTCATATGTTGGGGGGAGGACTTCAGCGGTCAGAAATTGGCTGGGAAAAACTTTGGAAGAGTTAAGAGCGGATCTAAAAACGGGTGAGTTCGGACCCAGCACTTGGAGTTTAGATGGCAACGTGACAGGATCATCCAAGCCCCCGAATATTTATGAAAGCAACCTGGAGCATGGCTTAGAACATGATCCATAAAGCTAGACAGTCTATAGTCTATTACAGATTCTCCTCGAAGATTGCCATCTTTGATTTGTCCTGTTAGTCATGACATGTCATGACATCATCGTGTATGCCGGTGCCTATCCCAGTTGATTGATTATGTGTGATTCTTTGTAGATGCTGTACATCCCCACAAACTTTTGGCTCACATAGTGAATAACTTGGCTAACCTGAGACACCCCTTTGAACGTGTACTGTACCCTCCGCTAATCAAACATGGCAATGAAAAACAATCGATAGGAAAATTATGGAAAATCCCCGATATTTCAATTTGATGGACAGTCATATTATAATATATATATATATATAACTAGCCATATTAACTACCCACTAAAATAACCGTCAACCCCTGGGAGTGCGTGTTTTTTTTGTTCCGAGAAGCTGATGAACTCGGAAAATCCCTTTGTTTTCCTTGCCAGCCTTGCCTAGCTCTGTCCTGCGATCTCCAAAAAAGGGAGCGCCGGGAGCGGAGCCCCCAAAAAAACCAGGAGCTAAGGCATCAAACTAGGCATCACCTCCACCACCTTCACTAGTCACTGATCAACTACTGTTTCACTGAATCATTGATCATATTGATCATACCAAATTTACGAAGTTTACGTAAAGTTTACATGTATGCAACTGATGGTGGTGTCCTGCAGGTTGACCATTCCAAGAGGGACAAACATATTGAGTGATGGCTGAGAAATCATGGGGCATGTTGAGATACAACCCAATCAGCAAACATTATAAAGTCAGCTCTTGGTCGATGCATGTCGATGCTATTCAAGATCCAACGATTCACCAAAAATCATATCAGTCCCAAATGTAGACCCCTTGTATACTAGCTACCAAACGATATGCAGTACATATAATATTATGTTTCTTTATAACGAATATGACCATTGAATATCTTAACAATTACTTAACCAAAAACAAAGATCTGAAAGATAGGTCCAACTTTCCAAAATGTTGGGGTCCATTCGTTGTGGACGTCTGCGACGTAACGTCCTGAAACAGGTGGAGATGCCAGCGTAGCGTCGAGGAAGCGTTTCTTCCTCCAAGATTTCCTTCCTCGGTTTTCGCTGGTGATCTCTTTGAAATGGGGGGGACTCTCCCAGCTCGTGCTCGTGACGTGGTACATCCAGCCTCTCCCAGCATCTTTTTGAGTCTCAACCTACTCAGAATGAGTTGGAAATATGTGTAATATGCCATGTCTATAGGTACTTGGACAATAATAATCCCACTTTAGAGTCTTTGGAGATCAGCAACCCATCTGTGGATAGGACATCTCGAAAGGAAACCACCAACCATGGCTCTTGGAATCAACTTCCTTACTTGGTGCACCCAGTAGAGGTAGCTTACAATCCAACTTTTGACGTAGTACAACCCATTACAATCATCAACCAACAACTGTTGGTTATAAATCGCATTATATCTCATTCTATCACCATTAAATCCCCATTACCTAGAAAAAGGTAACAATCATCAACCAACTTACCATTCAAAAAAAATCTGCAACCATATGTTTGCTGCATGAACCCTCATAATTGCTAGTTGAAACGCTTATAAAACATATATTCCCATATATTCCCCATATATTCCCCATATATTCCCCATATATTTCCCATATATTTCCCATATATTTCATGGTTGGGTCCCTATCCCACCACCCCACTGCCATAGCTTTCCCAATGTCAACTGAGCTTCGAGTGCAGCGCACACAGCGGCTGCTCGGAGGTAGCAATCAAGTACTGCGCAGGACATCCATTGGGTGAAACCCCAATTCAATGATAAATGTGTTTATTTTTAAATATATATATATAATTAATAATAATAATAAGACTATATATATATATGTATTATGATATATATAATATATAATTATACAACTATATAATTACTATACATGTATATATATATATATGATATACGTTTATAGTAATGGGCCCACCAAAAAAACAAGTTTCAAAGTAATTTCAAATAGTTTAGTAGGATTGTACTTTTCTAAATCTTTTTTTGGGGGGGTCGCTGTGTACAAGCGTATTTTTGTCGGTCAAACCCCCTATTTTGGCCAGGGAAATCTACTAGTTTCCGCGTTTGATGTTCCCTTCAATCCACGGACCAGTGGTTCATGGCTATTGGACATGAACGAACGGAGTTTACTTCAAAACAGTTCAACATGAGATCAAACTCCAACAGTAGAGATTCCACCAACCAGACATTGGAATTCAACCAATGAGAGTTTGTGTATTCAAAACTAAAGGTGGGGATTAAAGCAACTGTGATGATGAGGATCCAGCCAATTTGACTCACACCTTGCTAGCCTTGGATAGACCTTCCAACAGTGTGGCTGAATTATGATACTGTAATTCACCAACCCAAGCAAGTTGGATTATTGATAATAATAAACCCAACAAACTTTCAAAATCGCAATAAGTCCAACCAAATGAACATTCCAATCCAAATTAAGATCATTTTGGAACAGTTCCCTTCATCCTAGCCATTCCTAAGCCCTTCATGACAGCGCGGTCCTTCTCTGCTTCATCTTCTCCTGCTGGAGCTGATACATCCCTAAGATTATAGGAACCCCCAAAAAGATAGAAGGATTGGACAACTGAAAATATGAGGGAACAAAACCATCATCGAACTAACATTTTTGGGAAATAAGTGGAAATCCATCCCTATCTTTTCGGGGCTTGCTATTTATATCTATTTATATATAATCATCCCCGTTTTTCAGGTCAAGAGTTGTTCCACGCACCGAGAAAACCGTGGGATCCTTTGGTCACTTTGTAGAGCTGTTCGTCAAAATCACTGAGCTGCGCCAAGTCACACATCAAATCCCTCCTGCGGAGATGGGGCCCCTGGGGGTGCGATGGGTGAGCTTTTTCTATATGAAATCTGTGTATCATGTATATCTTAGTGTAATTCGTGGTGCCTTGTTGAAGAGAACAGACATGAATTACTCGCATCTGCGTTTTTTTTGGAAGTAATGAAATCATGTTGACATTGGGATGGTGCCTGAAGATGTTGAAGTCTCCAGCACCGAAAAACTCATCCTGATCTATCTACACTAGTCATGTGACTGTTTCACCAATGTATCTCTTTAAGATCAGTGTGCCCTGCACCCAGGTCAACCCATTGCACAAACATTGGCAACCATTGATGATGGAAATTTAAGGGCTTCATGGTAGCTAGTGTCTGCCCAATCTCACAGACACAGCCAACAAAAGTAACATGTTTGCTAGTGTCTGCTATTATAATATAATATAATATATATATATATATATGTATGTACCATAGATCCCATGCACGGCAAAAAAAACAAGAGATTAACTGACTAATCTACCCATCCAAGGTTCATCATTTGATCATCAAGTAATTAAAATACATTTAATGTATATCAACAACTACACACACACATATATATATATAATGAATATATATATATATATAATCATATATATATGTGTGTGTGTGTCAGCTACAGCTACAGTCCAGGCTGCCAGTCACCACAGTTCTGTCCCAAACGGCCCTGTGGCGTCCTCATGAAGTAGGGTGGTTGCATGGCGCGATAGCCTCCTCAGGGTTCCAGGGGCGGAGTTGTGCCATGCTTCTGTTGGCTTCTGAACCTAAAATCCAGATTTCATTGATATCCCAGGATTCACTGCTTTATTGGCATCCGAAGTTCTACTACCATGTTTCGTGGATAGCTCTTGATAATCCTGCTTTGGTACTCAGCATGACCCGCATTGTTGGTCCATTTGGGCTCCATGCTTGGGAGATACCTATGGATATCTGCAAACCTCATTATGTATACAACATTTAAACATGTCCGCCCCAACCCGGACGTTGCTCCACACTTACAAACATCATGATCATCATCATCATAATCATAATTGCTCATAATAATAATAATAATCATCATCATCATCATCACATTAAAATTCGCCACCCCCTCTGAGCCATATGCTGCCTGGGGTACTAACATCAACTTTATCTTCATGAGGGGTCAAAATTCGCCACCCCCTCTGAACCCACCCCCTCTGAACCATATGCTGACTGGGGTAACAACATCAACTTTATCTTCATGAGGGGTCAAAATTCGCCACCCCCTCTGAACAATATGTTGATTGGGGTAATAACATCAGCTTTATCTTCATCAGGGATCGAAATTCGCAACCCCCTATGAACAGTACGTTGATTGGGGTATTAACATCAACTTTAGCTTCATAGCCACCTGAAGTCAGACGCGGCGCAACGTCAGGGTTGCAGCGAACATGTCTTCACATAAGTACGTGGATTCACTCGCTTCATTGAAGGTAACACTTACAGAAACTCTAATCTTACCTTGTTTTACCAACCAAACATTGATGTTTCCTGTATGGTTTCCTTCAAGACAAAACCTGTGATCCTCTTCTCTTGGCCCGAGGAACGTTGTCGAAGGAAGGCCAAGCCAAAATTCAGAAGGGCCTGGTTCAGCATCACACCTGTTTGCAATTCATCAGCTATGCGGCCAGGGGCAGAATTTACAACATGTGGCTGGTTATAGATTTCCCGCACTGTCGGATACATGAGGATACCATCAAGAACTAAGTTGATTTCATACTTACGCAATAAACAATGTGTTTGAAGGGTTACAGTACTCCTAACACCCAAGATACCAGCGGAGAAGACTTGGTGAGAGGAAAAGAAGCAGGCAAAATGACTTATGTCCATCCCTTGTGGCTATCATAACAAAAATCCTGTTTTTAGCAACCACAAGAAATAATTTACAACCATTTCAGTAGGATTCTTACTTTACAGTCTTTTTGGGTTGCTATAATTGGCTTTGACCCAATGCGAACCGAGGATTACTCCAGTCTGCAACAGCGAAGGTTGCTACGCTCCAAACAAGAGCAGTGGGAGACCAAAAGCCCTGGATTTTGAGTTGCTAAACCACAATTCAAAACAGTAAAGAAGAATAACAACACACTCCATCTACAACAGTAAAGCAGGAGTCTTGTGTGCCGCTCAAGTTTTCGTCTAGTTCGGATGTTCACCGACATGTTTGCTGCTTCACTTGAATGACGTCAGCCCCCAGTTTTTCTCTGGTTGGTGGTTTCAACCCCTCTGAAAAGCATTAGTCAGTTGGGATGATTATTCCCAATATATGGAAAAATAAAAACTGTTCCAAACCACCAACCAGTTCTTTTCTTCTCCGAACGCTGCGGGTGGCGATTTTTCGCCGCTGACTTTGCAGCGGAGGTCCTTCGAGTTTGACGCCGATGTCTATGACACTTTCACCACCTCGGTGGGCGTGGCTAGCCACAAAAAATATCATCTAAAGAAACAGAACAAACCAATAATAATCTATTTTCAAAAAAAAAACATAATCGATATAGGGACTTCCCAAATAACAAGAGTAATTATTAAATATTGGAACTGCCAATAAATCTTGGGTATGAAAAAAAATAATAACAATGGGACGATCCCAATGCGCTAAAGCTGAGGTTCAAACTTTGGTGTTTACGGCTTTTGACTGCGATATAGTTGATAATATAGTGCTTTTACACTCCAATACGGGTGTTTCATGTTTTTTTCTTACTGGATAGAAATAATTGTTCACTCAAAAAAAAAACATGTTTGTTTCCATGCATAGGATAGAATAACCCATCTCTGTGTGGTCTGTGTGGGTTTGTCGGAATATAGGGTGCCTCCAAGTGCATTGATTAATCACCATTTCCCTGATCAATATGGCCATTGGAGGGGTATATACCCTACTTTCAGACACACCCAAAAATCATAGTTGGTTATTTATATATATATATATGTACTATATAGTTATATACCCGTGATATTCCCATCAAATCCCATTGCTCTAGGGAGGTTTCCTAAGGAAACCTCCACAAAAATCTTGGTGAAATAAATCACCATTACATCCCCCTTAAGTCACTATATTGGTTTGTGAAATCAGCATTTTGGGGGTTATTGTTTTTTTGGGGGATCCCAAGTCACCATAGGTTGCAAAACTAAAAAGGTCTAATGAGATGATGAGATGATTTGGGGCACCCCCTATTGAAACCCAGATATTTCTTCCAAGCTGCAATCTTTCCACGGAACGCTTTGCTCTTGGACTTCTTGGTGTTGTGCCCCCCCCGATCCTCTAGAGCCAATAAGGCCTTGGACGCATCCTCGAAGCCTTAGGTGAGGCTGGCCACGGGCATTTAGTGGCCACCTGTATATTTAGGTATGTATATGTATACATAATTAATCATATATATATATTTATATTATATATATATTATATATATATATATTATATATATTATATATATATATTATATATATATTATATATATATTATATATATATCATATATATATATATATATAATCACTACCCTTTTAAGGAGGGGGGCGTACCCAAATGGCAAGACACACATTAGACGTTTTTGAAGGAGGTGGTCCTATTAAACGTTGGCAAGCATTTATTTTTTTAACTGCGTCTTATTTGCAAGATGGCATTTTAGTAGGTCCCCTCATTCTTTACGGGATTTCATTTATTTTCTTTAAAAACGCAGGGGGGCATTCAATATTGTCCTTTGCATTTTTTTCAAACATGCAAGAACATGAAAAAAAAGTGTAAAAAAATAGTGTGAAGGTCTGCAAATAGCTGCAGAATTGCAGAAAATCAAAAATGCAAACTGGAAGTGTGTAGGTCCCCAATTGCCTGGTATTTCCAATACATTCTACACTTTTTCTACACTTTTATCATTTCCACATGTAACATAGAGGTATAGAAGGTATATTATTCCTTGCAAATTACTGGAAAATCCTTGAACTTTAAATAAATGTAAAATTAGATGTTGAAGGTCTTCAAATTTGCCTCCTACCTTTGGAAAAAAACAATAGAATATAAATAAAGATCTCAAATGGACCTCAAAAGGACTTCAAAAGAACCTTTATGGCGTCCCCATGGTAAACCCCCTTTATGTACCTACATGATCGAACTTAAACACCCTTCTGCCACGGTTCCTATCTAGCCCCCTTATGACCCTCCAACCATAATATGATAACAATCTACACATGTGTCATGTTGATTCTGAAAGGAACTGTGGAACCTGAGGTGAAGGATGGTTAAATTTTTCAATCTTAGCTTTACCTGCTTTTTTCGAGCACTTTCTGCAAGGAACAATGGACCTTATGTATAGGATGGCGTTGTTTTAAAATCTGATATTTACCTTCTGTTTTAAGCACATTCTGCAAGGAATTATTATATTATAGGCCTCAGGTGTAGTATGGTTAAATGATTCTAATTCTATCTTATCTCCACCATTTTTCTTAGCACTTTCTGCAAGGAATTGAGGACCTCAAGTGTAAGATGGTTACATTTGTTTATCTCATCTCTACCTTCTTTTAAGCACTTTCTGCCAGAAATTAAGGACCTCAGGTGTAGGATGGTTACATTGTTCTATCTTAGTTTTACCTTCTTTTTGGAACACTTTCTGAAAGGAACTATGGCCCTCAGACATAGGTTGATTACACCCCCACAAAGACACCTCACAAACAGTTTACAAACTGTATCGGTATGTACCTAGACACACTCCCTTGGAGACAGAATCCTCTTAGTATGGCTAATCTGAATACTTCCAGACATAATCCCTTTGGATCCTTTTGGTATACATCCATGAAAATCCCAGAAATACCAAGAAAGCCTTGCTGGGAACATGAGCCACCAAGGTCTGGCTGCATCAAAGCTGCCCGGTTTTTCAGTCGCTGAGCGAAGCGACGCATTTGAAAAGGAGCCCAGAAGCTGCTGATTTCACCCGGGGATGGATTGGAAGGTAGCTGGATATATAGTAACCTTCCAAAGAGGTGCAGAAAAAGGATAGAAACATAGTAACACATCCCCAAAAAAGTGGCTAATTAGTAGGTTTCATAGGTTTCTCTTCTTTTTGGTGGGGGATTCATGTGGGCAAACCATGGCAAACCATGGCTTCCATCAACCTATCATTTGGGGGTTGATTCATCATCACCAGGTCATCAGCGCCTACATCTTCCAGAAAGTATCCACGGCTTCCTGCGCGGCAAAAAGAACATATGTTGCGATGTACAAACATTTTGTTGAATTTTGTTCAGTGGTTGATCTATCTATCTATATATATATATCTGGTATTATCTGCTCAAGAGAAACAAAATCGAACATCTTGACACTTACAGAGTTACCTTGGAGTTCTTAAATAAGTGTCTGATGATGTGACAGAAGAGAAAAACAAAACTAAGTCGCCCTATCCTAGAGCAATGGATCCCACATCAGTGGCAGCTCAAAGGGACCATCTGAAGGTTCAAGTTACCTCCACACTTAACAACACCTTTGACCTGGTATGAATCACTGAATCACGTAACTTTCAGAATATAACACATAGAGTAAAATCATTAAAACATATATATATATATGTATGTATAACATAGATTACAGTATATATAGTTACTACAGTGGTTTACAGTGAACTTCTCATCTAGTTCTAAATAACGGTTCATGAAGACGTTCCAGTTCATCATCATCTTCGTCACACAGCCTGCAACTTTGGCACCGCGGTCAGGATCATAACCACCAATGCCTGGGCGTAACTTGTTGATTGGACCTCAAAAAGATGGGAAGTTGACATGGTTTGAATATATATATATATATGAATACATAATATATATATATTAATTATATGTTAATAGGTCAAATTAGTATGTTTTAATATAGCTTAAGATATGTTAATAGGCCAGATTGATATGTTTTAGTATGTTTCAATATATGTTTTCATATGTGTTTTAATATTATATATATATAAATAGGTCAGAAACACCTGCCACTGAGCCAAGTGAAGGTTATCGTTAAGTTGATCTACCTCAACCCACAGGAGTTCTGGAGCCTATGAAAACTGCCGCAGATACGATGAAGAGGTAACTGTCCCTAAGATGGGTTGCAAATCTGGGCCCCGTGCAAGCCACCTGTTCAGTAAGAGCTGTTCTTGGGCTTAGATATCACTAGTGTTGACTGATGATCAACATTTTGTTGCTTTGAGAATGTCACCAATATTCAGTGTCACTGAAGTTCCCTTGTTTTTCTACTCGAAAATCTCAAGAACTGTTGCTTCCAACTCCCATTTGGCCGTTCCAACTCCTATGTCCAAGGAGGTATTGTAACCGGCGTACCCCGAAATCTGCAGTTTGATCATCATTTCGCCATTGGAACTACCATAATTTATCAACTTGATGGGTATCCCAAAGAGAGTTCAAGACTTGGTGGCTGTTTATTCACTGCTAACTTGGTGTCATGTTCAATTGGATCCTGGTGTTGACCCAATGCAATTCCAGTGTAATTGTATAGCTACAATCCATCCAGAAACAAAGGCTAACCAAAAGCCAGTTCAATGGATTGATTGCATGGAAAATCCACAGGAAAGTACAGCTCTTGACCGATTTTCCCCAACCAAAAACTCGCGATTTTCTTCCCAAGGCACGCCATAGCAAGCCCTCATGTGTCGCAGCGTCCACAGCGCAATCCGGGCGATGCCTGGTTACGAGGTCGCCAGACTACAATGGTCATGCATGACTTGGATGATCAGGATACCCCCATGACTTAGGAAACCTCCATTTAACAGTTTGCGAACTGGAAGCCATGGCCCATGTAAATGGATAATCTATGATGATTTACCTAGTAAAGATTGTAATTGTCCATTATTTGGTAAAATAAGGGACCCATTGATGCTTTGAGTTCCGATAAATTCTGACAAATTTAGGCGAAACTGAGTTGACAAAAATAACTCTGTTCCAGATTCGTACGAAGATGTACGGATAGGAATTAGTGGTTTAAGTTGTAATATGGACATTCTCAATCAGTTTATGTATCTTGTTGAGTCTTACTGTAGATCGGTTTTTGTAGAATTACGCGAAAACTATAGGGGTGCTGGGAGACAAGCTGTAAATCTTAGTCAAACCAAAGAAAGGATGGTTGACTAAGTCCCATTTTCATCCATTTTCTACATATCCAACCAGCTGATTTATTGAGATGTACAACCAGGGTTGGTCCAAGTAGCTGAAGGATAGAAGCAACAAAGCAATTGGTTGTGTAAGTCTAACCATTTTATGGGGAGACTTTATGTGAGATAGTACTGCACAATAAAATACAGTAGATCACCAATAATGTGTGATGGCTTTGTCCGAAAAAAGGATACTTGCACCACTAAATTGCACTTCCAACGATTATCTTGATCTTCCATTGGGTTTAGGGGAAACATGGGGACAAGTTCATTTATATCTGGCTATATCGGTCCAAATGGTCGAGCCCCACTGTGACGAATATCCAGCTGGCAACTGTTGTTGTTTCTGTCACCTGATCACAGCAGTACCAAATATTTGAACACAACCATTTCAACAACGCAAAAACAATTGATCTATGCCAAACTAGTGTTGAGGACACACCCCTTGTGTCACAGTTGCTGGTTGCAGTCCATCTAGGCTGAAAACAGCATCGTCATTTTCCCATTGAACTAAGCATAAATTGGGGTACTGTATACAAACCATTGTCAAACACACCCAGAATTAATCATATTGGACCCATTGTTGGCAAAACATGTCCATCAGATCCCATTCATATCCCCATTAAGCCTCTGCAGTCATTGGTTAAATCCCCTTGCTTGATGTTTGAATCAGCAAGCCATCATTTTTGAATATTTTTGGCATTTGATTAAGGGCTTAAATCCACAATTTGCAGTCCCCCAAAACGCCTAAATTCACTGATGGGGCAGGGAAGTGACATATCTTGCCCTCTCGGCCAAACAGCCACGACCTGCCACCGGCAGGCGGCTGTGCAGCGAAACTCGTCGAATCAGGGTCAAGGGATTGGTTTCGGCTTAGGGGCCCACAAGGCGCATTTTATAGTACAATTTTAGATAAGTTTACTGGTTGGTGGTTTCAACCCCTCTGAAAAATATTAGTCAATGGGAAGGATTATCCCACGTATTATGGAAAATAAAAAAATGTTTGAAACCACCAACCAGTTTAGTATAGCAACAATAAATTGATGGTTTGTACCACCCATTTATGGTAAGATTGGGGATGGTGGATCCTCTTGCTTCACTCACATTAGTCCTTCAGGGACCACATATTTGGCCAATTGATTTCCAAGAATATGGATGTAAGCAGCGTGAAACCTGTCAATGCATTGGTTTGAGGGATCTAACATTTACCGGATATTCCATGTCCTTTTTGCTTACCGTCAAGAATGTAACAGGGTTCACGGGTCACATTTTCCCTTACGAAAAGTCTGGGAAGGGGTAAATACCTTGGGTCTCGTGTTCTGACCTGGAATTTATGCGACAAACATTTCTGGACTTGAACAGTGTTACTTTTGTTATATTTACCATCTATGCATGGCATGGGAAAACATAGAGATTTGAGCCACACCACAAACCATCACGGACCAAGTGATCAAACAGAAGATTTGAACAAGAAACACAAGGCAGGCGACTAAGACACATGGAATACCAACCATGGCCAACCCATTCAAGCTCCCCAAAAAGCACCAGGTATTCAGCGGAATGTACATGGGGCGTTTGTTTAGTGGGGCGTCTGTTGCGTAGGGTCTGCTCATCTTTTTTTGATACCCCCCAATCAACAATTGATTGGCTACGGGTCAAAACCCTGGTAGCATGGTGAGCTCCAAAATAGCTGGTATATAAATGGGTCTTAATCCACCCCAAAAATGAAGATAAGTATCGATAAATATCGATAAGTTATAGGTATTGATCTATCCTCATTTGAAAGAATAGTGAGATATTTGTGTCTCGCATTTTTAAACATGCCAACCTCGTTTACGCTGCAAGTCAAACAGCTGAGACTGATTAGACCTTGCTCGGTCAACCCTGCGGCTTGGGGGTTCCCCTTAAAGGGTCTAAGCGGCAGCTGGTAAAGGCTGAATTCCAACCTCGTTGTCCTCTTCCACATTGGAAAAAGGCACAGAAGGGTCCACAACATTGCCTCAAGCAGCTGGCAAGTATTTCATGGATCTTCAGCATGAGTTCTGGGATGTTTGGGTGACTCCCAAATGGATTCAGCAGATGGTGATTTCAACTTCTCAACCGTCCCAAGCGTGCTACAAAAGCGAACAATGAGGCAGCCTCTCCCATCCGTGATACAATCTTTGAGCTTCCGCCCTTCACCAGGAGAATAGACATTAGAAAAAAAGATCCTGATCAAACCCATCTTGGGCAAATTACATCAAATTACATCAATTTTCTCACATATTCTCAAATCAGAAATAAAGCATGACATTGAGATGATTTCTGGAATCCCAACGCATCATTAGTGACACCATTATCCTAGTCTTATGATTATGTTTCATTGTGGCTAGCTACAGGATGCTACAGGATTCTGATTCTCATCATGCTGAGCGATGCCTGGTTGATAGAGCTTCCCATTCTCGAATGTTGTAATTCCAACCATGCTGGATTGTAATCCCTTCCCCCCAATGACTTGACAGAAGCTTGGAGAAACCATCCAACACTGGATTATTAAATTGGCCTTACCGCGACCACATGAACATTTGATTTTTAATTCGCAGAAATCAGCTGGCATGACCGGAATTGAATCATTAATCATGTTTGGGATCCCATATTAGACGAGTTGCTGCTGCCAAATCTTTGCCAAACATTCCTATGGCTGTTGACTGGCTCTGTGGGCAGAGTTCAATCAAGGTCCAAACCGAGTCACCCAGCAGTTTCAGCTTTTCATCCCGCTTCACTTCGCATGATGCGGTGTCCAACCTAGATGTTGCCCGGGATTCATCGGATTCTGGGGTTTGCTGCTGTCGAAAGGTTAGAACTTAAACACATTGAAGAGTGAATTCTTCTTGCACTAGTGAACCTCATCTTTCAAACATACCATGAATTTTAAACACCACCTGTGACCCCAAACAGGTGAAAGCGCGATTCCTTCAGATTGGCAAGTTTATACAGACACATTGAGGTACCTGCGCAGAAATTTTCCCGCTGGAACAAACGGGAACAAACCTATTTTTTCTTTTCATTGGATGCTCAAAGTTGTGGAAGTCCGTACACATGCCCACCCTGACATGCCAAGCATTTGTCAGCATTATTCTGACCCATGCGTATTATACATCTTTCATACGTGTTTCCCCAACCTTACCTTTAAGCCTTACTTTTCAAGCATCGTCAATGATGATGCGTTTCTTTACGTTACAAAGTCAAACGCTTCAAACACATCAAATTATATAACATATATATATGTATGTATATATATATATTTCTTTGAAACCGATGCAGACCTAACATGACATGTGGATGTAAACAGCCACCAGTATTTCCTGCAAATATCAAAGAACCAATTTTGATCTTCCAAAATTGTGTACGTCCGAATCCAGCGGTTTGTCATAATGTTCCATATTAACATTGCCATTTTGGGGGCATACTGCATTTTCAGACACATCCAAATATCATCCACAGCGTCAACTTCCAACTTTCAAACAACCTCTACCCTCTGGTAAACTAACATAGCTATGGACAATCACCATCTTTAGTAGGTAAATCAACTATAAATGGGCCATGTTCAATAGCTATGTTAGTCATTACCAAAGGGTAACCCCTTTGCGCTCAGCCACTCCAAATCTTTCAGCTGCTGTCTCAGCCTTGCCGCTTCTGCCAGTTCTTCGTCACCTCAGTCGGGCCTGTTCATCCACACCGGACCAAAAATCAATGGATTGGTTGGAACATTTACAGGACAACCCAATATTTAATGGGAAAATCTATGGTTTCCGGTAGATGATGTTCCCCGTAAACCAATCCATTGAAACAGGAAATGGGTTGGTGACTGGATCGCAGCGAGGAAGTCACCCCTCAGCGCTTTCGAGTTCGCTCTGGGCTCCGAGGAACCTGTTGTACGCATGCTGCATGATCTCAGTTTACTCGTATTACCCTCTGGTGATGACTAACATAGCTATTGAAAATGGCCATTTATAGTGAGTTTTCCCATTAAAAAATGTGATTGTCCATAGTTATGTTAGTTTACCAGAGGGTAATTCATGCTAATGATCCAAACAAATAGATCCATATTATGTTCCACCCAAACAACTGATGGAAAGATGCCCCATCTATATAATTTGAAGATGCCCCAAACGAAACGCTGATTGCTATTGGTTGTGTGTATTTCAGATAAGGAACATGCCATTGGATCGTCTCACTCATCACACCGAAGATCCACCGAGGGGCACGGCAGCTTCTGCTTCTTCCTCTCCGCAATGATGCCCTGGCGCCCAGTGCCATTGCTGCCCCGGGAGAACTTGGGGCTGGTTAAAACCAAAGCCGAAAAGTAGTGGAATGATGTGGAATTCAGAACTTGCAGGGGGAAGACCAAGGCTTGACACTGTTGACGCCATCCAGATCATGGCTCTTGCTGGAGGCATTTGCAAATTAGCAATTCGGGAGGTTTCCAAGACCAAAATCAAAGCATTGGGATTCAAGCTCTCGGATAGCATGCTTCAAGAAACTATTATTGCTTTTTTTTCCAGAGCTGTGACTTGTCTGCCTCCCCCTTTTGTCGCTAACACTATGCGAGAGAGTACTTTAGATGTCCATTCAGTCATGTTGCAAACTCAATTCCATCTACCATCCGTAGTCAAACCCTATTTCCAAGAAATGGGCAATAAAAAATATCCTATTAAAAATTATGCCTTGGCCATTTGTTTGATGATCAAAAAACTGAAAGCCCCATGTTTGACAATCATTAAACCTCCACCACCATGGCAATGGACGATTCGCACGAACCTTCTGCAGGTTGTTGAGCTGCGTTTGCAAGTCTTGCGTTCCTTAAGTTGAACCATGTGAAAAAGGTGGGTGATGGGACTGGGAATTGATATACCCAATAGTCCAGGAGATTTATAGGATATGAACGATATATTAATGGAGAAATTAGTGGCATATTACATGACATGGAATTTGTATAATGGGATTGATTATATATATATATATATAAATATATATATATGTATAGGCTAAGCAACAATAATATAATATTTTGATGTGTCTGAACATGTGGAATTTACAGTAGCTGCCGGTTTATGTCCATATTCCAATTGGGAAAATGGTTATTAAACAGTGGGTTTAGGTGCAATTTGGGGCTTTAGATCACAAATTATTGCAAACAACCCACGATTATGCAAACTAACTATAGAATAAGATCCCTCCAAAAAAAGAACAACTCAAGTCTAAAATGACAAGTCCATATGTGGATTTCAACGAGTCTGACATAAGATCGTCATCAGTTTTTCAGTGGACGCTTCCCAGACTTCGTCTGACGGACAAGGACTACAGGACAATGATCTATCCCAAAAATATTCTGACATATAAGCTGTCTTCCGATCAATGCAACCTGGAAAGTGTTTGGTTCGTGGTTCGTTGATCCAGTGGTAAAATTCACCGATGGCATCCCTAAAACATCCTATAGAACACCTAGCCATATCTGTATGGCTGCCTTCCATCAAACGCCATTTTTATTTCAAGAAAGACTGGGACAAAAAACGCCAAAGATGAACAGATCCACAACCTACAACCTTGATACACATCCATAATTCCAAGATGTTCCAAGACTGTAAACAAACTTCCCAACCAAGGTTTCAGCAGCCTGCTATTCCCCAACATCTGAACGACCCACTCTGAAGCGTGAGCCACTGGTGATACTTTCTCTGACGGACCTGGGCCACTGCTGAATCAGCTTGAGTCTGAAACGGTCGGCTGGTAAGATCTGGTAAGCAAAATGAGAACCCGTATGCAATTGTGATTTATTGCGGAATAATTCATATTGGGACATTGTTATGGGATATTATGGGATATTCTTACAGAAATATCATATAATATCATGGCTTAGTCCGGGATGTCATTGATTTATCAGATTGCAAGTCATTCGCATCGGATGTCATGAATGTATTACAGTATCATCACCAACAAACCTTTGGATTAGACGAGCAAACTTTGCAGAATTTGAACGACTCCAACTTGTGGACGCTGAGACTTGATTTTGGGGGACCACAAATCAGACCCATGGCGTTGAATGACAAGAATACCTGAGAAAATGAGATACCCTCTGGTAAACTAACATAGCTATGGAAAATCACCATTTTCAATGGGAAAATCCACTATTTCTATGGTCATTTTCAATAGCTATGTTAGTCATTACCAGAGGGTACAAGGTGCCAGAATCGGGCATCGGGATGCATCCGGTGATGTTTGGATGCTTCGAAATTTGACCCCTAAACCCCCTGAAACCAAAACCACCACAAAACACGTGGTAAACACATAGAAAATGAACATTGCCTGTAAAGCTTGCCAGAAGTAATTTTCAAGCAACTAGCTACAACTCGGAATTGATCAACATACAAATTGTTGATCAAATTAGGATCAAATTACGAGTCTTTTGCGGTGAACCTAATGCCATTGGCACCATCTCCAGTATCTCCACGACTGAAGGGCTTGTCCAAATTCAGCACTTCTTCCACCAGCCTTAGCCACGGGTGCTTGGGAATCTAGAGTTAGCTATCAACAGTCTATCAATAGTCTCAGGGTTATGAATCACAAGTTTCATATCAATAGTCTATCAATAGTCTTAGCTATCATAGTTATGAATCAATAGTTATCAATAGTCTATCAATAGTCTATCAATAGTAACATATCTACTTCTACTTGGTGTTTCGGCATAAGTGGAATACTTCCTGGTGCTCAGAGTTGAGAATTGCGGCATGGGATGATTCTTCAGAGTCAGAGTTATGGCCCCCCCATTAGGTTTGCATGATGCTGCTTCGACATTTCTTGATGGTTACATGCTAGCTATCAATAATCCCATGATATGATTGTTTTATCTTTTTGGAGTCATGCTGGTCGATCATTCTCCGCAAGCGGCGAGGAAGTGGGAACAATTTTGGGATGTGCATCGAAGTGCGAATGGTCATCATCGTAGAAAAACTCACTTACCATGACAAACCTCAGTTTCCCTTCAAAACAAAGCCAAATTCGAGTGACATTGAACTTACAGTAAATGTATGTAAATGTCAAATTTATTTAAATATGGGTTAGAATTATCATTTAAGCATACAAAGTAACATACAGTACATATTCCAAAACCATCCAAAACCAACATATAATATATCTCCCCCCAAGCTCGCCTTGAACATCACCCAATGAAAAAAGCATGTGTCCAAGTGCGTCTTCCAATTTTACCCATATCATCCATGGTCTTAGTGGTTTTATCTACCAGCACAAATGTACGCATAACTATATATATATATATCTAATATAGAAAACAATATACATATGACAGGTCTAGTCATTTGTTCATTGATGCACATCGATCCATTCGTTCCAGGGTGTTTTTGGATGTGTATAGATTAAATGCGTATCAATCAATATCCATGTTTTCATGAATTGCCAACATATATGCCATGGTCAAAAGACGTTATAGCGGGTATTCTCACCCATTCCACAATGAGAATTCTTAAATTGAATTGATTTTTTTTGGTGGTCTTTGGAGGGTCTAGGTATATAATATAATATATATATATATATCATATAAAACCTGCATTTATAGGAAGGTTACCGGAGGGTATATCATATCATATCTGGGCAAAATACCATAATTGAAACCTGACATTCTGGGCTATTTGGATAATTCCCCTAACTATGATTTCAGAGAGGTCACAGTGAGGTCACTATAATTTACCCAGATCATAATATGGCTATGAATCAATACCTATTAATACCATTTTTAGAGGGATGAACATCCGTTTACCAGCTATTTTTATGTTCACCAGGGGTACAAGGTTTTGACCCACTGCCATATATACAATCCAATGATGATTACTGACCCCAGTCATTCCATGTCGAAGTGCGACTCCGCATTCAGCTTGAAGCGTTTCCGCTGCGCCTCCAGCACTAGCGCTGGATCGCCAGCCCTGCGCGAAGTTTGGGAAGTGAATTTATATATTGGGATCTTTGATAGTTGGCTAAGTTAGTTTATAACTCCAGTAACTAGGGTTTATGATAGATATATTCAATGGATTAGTTTAAGGGAAAATTTACAGGAAAGCACCATATTTAATGGGAAAATCTATGATTTCCTGTAGATTTTCCCTTAAACCAATCCATTGACATATCCATAATGATCAATGGCTAGTATGGTTGGGACATCCCTCCAGTATTCTGCGCAATTCATTCATCGGCTGATCAGCAAAATCAACATCTTCAATAAACATCTCTACCTTGGATCAATCAGCCATACATATTAATAAATAATATATAATGTCCTTTTGGTAAAAATAGAGGGGCCGGTTTGGTATACCATCTCTCATCATTTACCTGTTAAAGGGGTTTCTTCAAACCCCTCTATTAATCAACCAACCAATGGGAAAAATGATCATCTTCTCAGGCCCAAATGAACTGGCAGCTGACTCCAGAGCTTAACCAGCAACTGGGGGAGTACCACCGTGTATGTATATGTATGTAATTGTAGGTACCTATTGTATCCTATTGTTATGTATACATCATCATGTAGGATTGAAACACATAAAGTATGTATATATATCTGAATACAAAGGGTTACAGCATCTAAAAACTTGCTGTAAAACATAAATGTATCTCAAGTTGGTACTTTTGGTGGTTGATCGTTTGTTGTCGCAAAACCGGCCATGGTGTGGTAGTTTGTCGATCGGCTTGTCCGCAACCTTTAGTGGGATATTGTATGTAGTCTGTCTGGATACGTGGTGTCTTTCCATCCGGAAACCAAGACAAGCACATATTGATATGGGGGATTAGCCGCCAACAAACAATTGAACAACATCAACACAATGTGGTCCAAGGTAACTTATTTCTCCATTCACGGCCCAGAAACAGCCCATCAACCTACCCTACCAGTCACCAAGATTTGCATTGTTTTCTGCGAGACATTGCGAGACAAAAGGGGTGATTATCAACAGACTTCGATAGACATGCGTCAGCATATTTGCACTGTGTGAGAATAACACAAATTTGATGCACTGGTGATGTATAGGCATGAGTCACAATTCAAGGTCCAAGGGACGACACAAAGGCTGACCACTTCAGAAAATAAATCACACAAATCTTGAGCTTGCGCCAATTATGACCTGTATGTATCCCTTTGCCACATGGGTTCATGTTTCACCACGGTTGGCATCTTTGGTCAGACATGGTACATGTGCTGTATAGAATTGCTTGAAGGGACAAGGTTAAACTCGCAATGGATGATAGGACAATATGGTCTCCAGAGTTTCAACAAAAAATTACTGCAAACCAACCGAGGGACCCTAGTCAGTTGGGGGCCAATCTTCCAGAAAGCTTGGTTGGTGAACATCCCGACATGATCAAATGACATCAAATAAACCATGTGTTGGAGGTGTTTAGTATACCATATGAACAAATAGAATCATGATCTTCTTTTGGTCTGTCCTCGACAACTCACCAAGGTGTCATGTCAGGTACCCAAATTGGAGGTTTTAAATATGTCAAGGCTGTATGAGTATAAGGCTTATGGAAGAAAACCAAAGAACACATATGCAGCATGTGTATTATGGCATTAATATGTCCTCTGGGGCTAAAACTAACCTTCAGGACAACAGCTTGAGTGGGGGATGTCAAAAAAAGGTCCACTAAATTTGCTGCTGGATCAACTTGATCATATGCTTTTTGAGGGCCAAGCCATGTTTAGGAGGTTTAGCCCTCCAAATTGATTTGAATTGCAACCTTTGGAGGTCCACTTTCAGAGCAACCCAGTTCTCCGCATCCACCGATCGGAACGAAGGGAATTGATGTCAATGGGCATCAGCAAGCGACATGGCTGGGTTGTGGTCGCGGCGCGATCCTGTTGGGTTCAACAGGAAAGTCGTTCCTGAAAACTGGTGATTGCAACCCCCGAAAAAAATATTAGTTGGGAACATCATCCCAAATATGTGTATATATATATACAATTATATATCAATATATCCCAAATAGTGTTGAAAATCAACATGTCTAAAACCACTGACCAGTTCATTTCCAACATCAATCCTTGAAATTTCGGGCCCCCAGGTTCCAAGTGACTACAAATGTATACTACACAAAGGCTTGATATTCCCAATGCTGACCCCAATTATGGGAACCTGGGTTTAAGCTGAAAGCCCCGTCACACACACACAAATGTTTTGCAATTTTTGAGCGCAAAACCTCTGTTCCTTTCTGGGGGTACCCATCAGGTATACTGAGATGACACATGCCCGCTTTTGTCTCATCTGTTTCAATTCGCTAAGCCATCAAGCCATTAGATATGTATATATATATATAGATATGCATATAGCAATCCCCAAATAGATACAAAAGTGTTTCCAGGCTGGTATAGATGATATTTTCCACATGTTCCAGGTATCCAGTTTTATATGTGTTTTCTGTTTATACATAAATAGATAGATAGATAGATAGATCGATAGATAGATAGATAGAGAGATAGATAGATATGATATACACACTAATTGTGGACTGCGCATGATTTCCATAACCCTCGCTGGGTACTTGCAAAAGCTGCAGCCAAAGCATCGGACCCGAAAAAAGTGCCTCTATATGAAACATGTGTGCAACTGAAGAACCATTGAAAAAGACCCTTTTGTCATTTGGTTCTCTGGATTAAACATGATTGTATACTATAGTTACGCTTACTATAGTAACTAATGGCTTGGATCAAGGGCTATGCCACTATGCTCTTTTGAAATTGGACCCACCTGCAACAAGCCTTTTACCACAGTGACCTGGCTCACTGAGATCCACAAAATAGCCAAGAAAACCATGGCCATGTTTTATTTACGTAAACCCTCCCTGCAATCGAAACCGGAACATCCAGAACTCTGTTTGGCTAAACACTCACACAAAAAACACGAACTTATTCCATGGCTAGCCTGACCCAATAAAAAATGAATATCTTTCCAATCAGATGATGAAAAAATCCTCCAACAAACATGGCAAACATTGCTTCAGCATGATTCCACCTTGGTTCCGCAGCTTCGACCTACCGGAAAAACAACAACAGCCATCCCCACCAGGGGCCAGCAGTAGTGAGCTGGTCTATTTTTCCCCAACTGGCATGATATAGCCCCCATATGCCACCATTCCAAATCCCATTTTTGACCAAAAAAAACAACAACACGTTTTGTCTCATTTTGATAGACATTTATAATATGTTATAATTATAGACGCAACACAACATGGCTTTGCTTTGGTCTAGAAAGGTGTAGTTTTACCATGTTTTACCCCATAAAAAAACCAAGCATCATGTGGGATTCACCCAATTTCATAAACCATCCATCCCCGAAAGGTCAGTTTCTGGCCTTGGGATCCTTGGGTTTCCCACCGCCCACATCCCGAAAAAATCCATGAACAATAAGCACATATTCTGAATCATTTATTCACCATTCTTCACCATTCATCTGGGTAAATTATAACTATTCAACCTGAATTATTGGGCCCACCATGGGGATACCTCTTACTAACCATGATTCCAGTGAGATCACGTGATTTTAGGTCACTATAATTTAGCCAGATTAATCATCAGAAAGTCAAGGACAAAGCCACCAGTCACCATCCCGCCGGCTCTTTTGCCGCGTCCGGTCAACCGGTCGACGAACCGAAGGCGTCTCGTGCGAACTCGATCAACCGTGGCGGTGAAACGGTGCCGTGGAGCGGATCGATAGCTCAAAAGTGCACTGATTAGGGGGTTTAATACGGTTTAAACCTCCAAAAATATGTATTTTAACAAGTAAACTAAGATAAACCAAGTAAACTTCAAAAACTTCAGACATATGGGCAATGGCAAGTTGAACAATAAAGGATTGAGGTATTTTATCAGGTGCCGATTTCTTGGGACTCTCGAAGTAATCGAACCTGGCAACGGGAGAAGTCACATAACATGCTGGGATGAGATATGCCATATGGATATATTGGGGTAGCTGCTTCGATGAACCAACTCATGTGGGGAAATGGATGAAAAAACTAAAGCAATTGTAAATTTGCTATACCCTCTGATAATCAACCATGGGCTAGCTGGAAAATCCAACGTTTGAAAAGTTTGTAGAGGATTTTGTCAGCAAGAAACCTCCATTGCTGGACTCCAGATTTTCCAGCTCGCCGCATTTGATGACACCTGAGGCTATGCATATCTCGGAATCCAGTTGGAAGATCTCAGCTACCAAATCGTTGGAACAGATTTTTAAATGAAATTTATCCATATGGAATCCATATGGAGGTTTCCGTGCATACTGCACTAGTAATCTTTTCCAGCACATTCGAATCCAGAAGAGTTCGGGATCTGATAATCTATTATCATCTAGTTAAAAAGGTGTCCTAAAGCGGGGTACGAGTACCGGCGCCAATAGCGACCCTAAGGAATTTGAATATTGTTCAAAATGGCAAGAGCTCAAAACCTGCATTTCAGAACATTTTTGTGTGGAAGTCAAGATTTCAAGGCTTCAAATTCGTTGGTATTTGCAGGAAGGCCATTCTTGATTTTGGGCCATTGGAAATTGGAATTGTGGTTTTCAAGACTTCTTTTAAGCCAGGCACCCAACCTTCTCACAGCAATATATTGTTTCCTGATTTTCCTGGGTCATCGTCTGAGTCTATGTTCCATGATGTTTACTTGATTTTGCGTAGCATGACGTATGTCACGTGAAGCTAAATTCGAGTACATTAAGCTACCGTTGTGTGCAAGTTCTATTGAACATTATTGCACTCCCCCAGCCCACCCGAAAACCCCACCATGAAAAGCAAGTACCGTAACATCATGTATGATCATGTATGTTAGTGCAGGTCAACGTCAAGTAGCGTGGCATCCACTGAGAGTACAAGACATGTTTGCAGGTGCAAAATATGTTCAAGTACAGTGGCGTTTAATGATGTATATTAGTTCAACTTAAACTGAACATAGCATAGCATCATCTATGTTAGAAGGAGTCAACATCAAATACCGTAGCATGAGTTATATTAGATAAAGTTACCTTTCAGTCACTGTCACTGTCAGTAGCGCGGCATGGCATCATCAGCACCTTACAAGCAACGTCAGGTACCGGTAACATCGAATTTTCTGCGTGTGCAAGTGCTATTGAACATTATTGCACCCCACCCCACCACCCCCCCCACCAGCCAGAAACCCCCATAAGAAAGCTGCGTTTTCCTATGGGGTCGCTAACAGCGCCAATAGCTAAAATGGGGGTACACCCAAATCATCCAGTTTGGATCATTTTGGTATATTTAAATAAGATTGTCCATTACAAACCACCCAGCCATTTGTGTATCCCCATTGCTTCAATAGGCTTTGAAGTCGATTCGCCCCAGCGACGTAGCATCTGTACTGGCTTGTAGACATTTCTTGAGGCAGAGACTCGTCTGTCGTTCCTAATCAGTTACCGGAAGTATCGAAAGGTTACATCCAAAATGTATAGCAGTATAACAGTCATAGAAAGTCATAGAAAGTCATAGACAGTCATAGAAAGTATCGAAAAGTAATGTCCAACTATCAACTATGTGTATGTATATATATTATTATATTATATTATATTATATTATATTATATGAATAGTGGCAAATTACCATTCTATCTGTTTGGTGGTCCAAAGGACTAAGTCCTTGATTGTCCGGGGCAAAGTCCATCGACAAACCCGAGGGGATTGTCTGAGCCACGAACCAGGGATCCCTAGGAGCAGTGCTATACTATTTGGGTATATCTGATAGGGCACACACACACAGAAATCCCGTGGTTTGAAACATCAAGTTAAAACAAAACACGTGACAGGTTGAAGTGTACCCATTTTATCCCATGTTCAGATATAATTGTTAATTACTGGCGTGTTGCGATTTAAAGTAGTAAAAGGATTTGGCCTCTCTCAGTTCTAAACGGGGTTCTATATCCATGTACCCCTAAGTATGATAATGTAGCAATTAGAGCAACGCCCGTAAAAAATAGAATCACAATTTACCACAACTTTATTAGTAAATCATATAGATTTAATATTTTTGGGTAGAAACCCATTTATGTTCATTTTTTTTTGGGGTAGCTATGAATGGGTCAGTTTGTAGACACAATTACAACTGGAAGGGGCCCATGGGCCAATGGGGCGTGTCCACCGGTTGTCTTCAAGTTTGACTCCTCCCCACATCATTTCTGGATACTGTATATACTTCGTACCAATTCCTACTGCAACACTTCATCTAATGAACCGCAGAGTTCTTCGTCAACATGTAAATTCTAAATGATTTCAACCACTAAAACCAGCCATCTAATAGTTGATAACCATTAACAGTTGATTATCACTAATAACCAGCCATCTAATAATGTTGTCAACCACTAAAAGTTGATTATGTGAGGTGACTAATTTGTCAACTCCAGAACAACCCCCAAATTTGGGGCGTGATATTCTGCTGGAGCCAACTAAACTTAAACTAAGTTCAGCAAATCATCAGTCCGACGTTTTTTGGGGGTTAATATGGCTTAATCCTCCAAGTAATCACAGGAATCCAGGGTTGACGAATCACATCCTAGCTTTTATCTAGCTTTTATCTAGCCCAAATGACACGGATAGCTAAGCTCAGATCAATGCCCGATGTCTACAAGTTTCCCAGTCCCGCTAACATGTCGACCAGGCATCACTGGTCGCCATGTGACTGGCTTTTGTGGCCGCCTCCCTCGAACATCCAAGTCTCGCCTTTCTGGTGGTTTAAAAACCCATCTGCCAAAACATGAAGCATTGCACAGTTATGGCCCTTAACAGCTTTAAATTGGTTTATAATGATATATACCCTCTGGTAAACATACAAAAAACTATTGAACATGGTCATAGAAATAGTGGATTTTCCCATTAGAAATGGTGGATCTTTCCATAGTTATGTTAGTTTACCAGAGGGTAACATATATAACCTTAGTTAATTGTTTATTGGCCATAACTGTGGGGACCATCGTCCCATTTGGAGCTTGCTGGTTGAAACCCATCTGAAAAGTCCGGTTGAAGCACAAGAATTGATAGGGTCCCGGGTCAAAACCGATGAATTTACCCTCTGGTAAATAAACTTGTTGACCCTGATTTTATCACCCATTTTTAATGGTTTCACTAGTCTTCCAACCCCAACAACTGCCAGGGTCGAACTGTTAATTTACCAAGCGGGTACGTGCTGAATTTTAGGGGGAATCTACATCCATTCTGCAGGTCACTCCTGGAATGATTTGCCTTAGCGGATCGTTCAGAATCCTTTGGAAGATGTCAATAATTGTCAATAAAACAACTAATGTGTTATCCTATAATATTAAACTAACATTGATTTAGAAAACCATCATTTTTTTTTATGGGTAATTCAACTATATATATAATATAAATGGTCATTTTTAATAGCTACTGTATGTTAGTTTACTGGTATAAGAAACTACAAGGGATGGTTTTACCACGTTACCCGAGTGCCCCTAGTGCAGTAGTTATACCTTCTTCGAAGTGGAAAAAACACTTCGTTCAGTGAGGTTTGAGTCCTTGGGGGAACGGTCCCTGAACTGAAACCCTGCAATGTTCACCTAAATATCCAGAACTTGTCACTTGGAACGGGCAGGAAGAGAAAATGAACTCATTTAGTACAATTGCAAATACACATGATGCCTGCGTGTATATATATATATATTATATATAATTATATATAGTGTATATATATATATAGTAATTTAATTATATACAATATATACAGTATTATACAGTATGTGTATCTGTACTGTATATGGATACGGTATGTGTACACACCCATGCCCATCTAAATAAATAAATACATATATGTGTATATGTATATATATATATATTCAAACATATACAAACGCATATTAATATGCATGACTATATATATATATATATCATTATATATCTATAATATTATAAACATATAAATGCATTGACCTGAATTTCTTGCACATGAAATAAAGGGCGTTGTCATGGCTTTGCAATCCAAATCTTACGGATGCTTTCTCTCAGACCATGAAAAACATCTGGCAGCTGCAAACAGTTTCAAGCTTGATAGAATGACATCATTTGTGCCAAAGAAACACGTTTTTTTTTTTAATCTGTCTAGGCCCTCTAACTTGCGCAAACAAGTTTTGTTCTTCTGGAGGCAGCCACAAAGGCCAACAGAAATTGTCCCCATCCCCCACGTGGGGGTGCGAATTGATGGATTCAAAGCGGCTGAAACGATGCCTCTGGGACCTTTCTTTTCTGCCCAAGGGGCGAGCTAATGATGCACATTGGACGAGATAGACCGGCAAGGACCCAGAGAAAAATTGGAGTTGAACAAAAATCCATGTATATCCAAAAATGGGAAACATCCATGTATATCCAAAAATCCATGTATATCCATGTATATCTTTTTCATTGCACAAATGGGCCTTTGGGGTAAAGTACCCTCTCTGTTTCTGCACAGAGGCAACCGCTTTGATCCAGCATGGAGTCTCCGCGTTCTGGGCGGCTGGTTCCTTCGGAGCCGGCAGCGTTTATCCGTGACCTCGTGGCCTGGCAGATGGGCTGGACCACTGGAGCGGTAACTGAAATAAACATCATATGGATATAAATATGATAACTTTATAGCTACTGTATATCCATATGATATGATTTATATGTTCATATTTATAAATGGCCATATTAGGGGGGTTCCATAAATATAGCTACTGTACCCCAAATGGATGATTTATAATATTTTATAATGGACAATCCATCTGTAAATGGATGAGAACTGGGGGTACCCCCATTTTAGGAAACCCCCATCTTTCACCAACAAATACCTTACTGCGATCCAGTGATTCCCAAAGGGAATAGTCAACCATCGAAACCAATGCGGACATGGCACCGAGACAAATGCTGCATTTTTTCCGCCACAAGGCTGGAAATATACTAATCAACCCAAACGGGATCATAGGAATGATAGGGGTATTTATGTAACAAGGGCTCCAACAAACTTGCTTCCGCGTTCTCTGTCTCGACTGTGACAATCTCTGGTAGGCCAGCCCGGCCACCTTGGTTCCCAACACGCCAAGGCCAGAAATTTTAGCCAGTAGTCCCCGTAACCCGGTACTTGCTCATGCCCAGAATGGCAACCACATCTGCAACACCTTGTGCTTGTGGGTTCAGCTGGCCATCCCCTCCTCGCCACACATGGCTAGAGATTCCAGAACCAGATGCATCAGGCAAGTCCTCCGGCAGCTCGGCTACTGCCATGACCCATCACCCAGGCAGTGAACACAAAGTGGTATGCTTGATGTGCTAGGATGTGAATGACCCGGCGGGCCTGACTAGAGGTATCTGCCCGCCAGTTCAGATTTCTGTAGAAAATGATTGCTTATGAGTTACAGTACATATACCATCATATACCCCTATATGATTGAGAGTACATATATATATATATATATATTAATAATAGTATATATATATAATTATATATATATACCCCTTTGGTTATTGGCTATAAAGATGTATAAAACCAGATGAATTTTCATTGATTCCCCTAGCTCGAGCAGGAGTCCGACGCCAAGTCGCTAGGGATCCATCGCAAGTCTCCCAGCATTTGTGGTTATACCACCCCCCAAAAAAAATATGTTTTGGGGGATGGTGTATTGTTGGGTTTAACACCGAAAATTGCAGTCTATTCTTAATCCAGTCATTCTTAAAATTCAGAAAACATGTCAAGGGAAGAGTCAATGAGTGGAGCCTGTGGAGCCCCAATTTATAGCATGGAAGACACCAATCAGTTGCCATATCAGTTGCCATATCCACGGACAAAGCTTTCGGGCAGGGACCATCCTGGCCATCCAGGCCCTTGAGAAAATCCACGGGATTGTCCGTCACGACTCAGGGTTGACAAAAAGGGTTGAAGGAGCAGAATGATCGTTTTTACACATTGCTTTAGACCAAATAAACCATAATAAACCCCCATTCCAAGGATGTTCATCCAATCTAACATGAAAAAAAATGGGGCTGTACATACATTTGTGGATACATGTGTGGATAAACCACGTGCCATGTGTTGACCACATGTGCGGCCTGTCTGGTCTGTAAGGTAGGCCACCAAAGTCGTGAGAATCTGCCCAGAAACATAACTCATCCTTTGCCCCTAAATATGCATTGTATTTACCCATAAATACAGATAAAAGATGATAAAAGTGCAGGTTAACATCCCAAAAAATGTTGGGTTTATTTCCCCACGAACAATGAACAGAACCTGTTGCTGTTGGGGACACATACTTACACTGTGATGGTTTTATGGTGACAAAATGGGTAGATTGACGGTCTCCCAGTGTTTTTCAGATGCGGTCCCATCAATGAGTAGCTATTTTCTGGTGTTCCACGGATCATTTGTTTGGCAAACTCATGTCCAGTTGATGTAGTAACCAATATTGAAAACATCTCTCCCCACGCCAAGGCGTGCCTCCAGTATTATCGTATTCCGAGATTCCTGACATCGCCAAGGAACAATCAGTATCATGCGGGCTGGATTGCCGGGAAAAAAAGAGTAATTGTGCACAACGGGATTCTTGTGAATTCTTCCCCTCAAAAACGGGGATTTCACCATTGCAAGGAACGAACCCAGCGGAGAGAACTAACTTTAGATTGCAGAGACACACGCGGTCAAGGGGGAAGTTTCGTAGCTTGAGTGCTTGGAGATATTGAATAATTCCAGGTGCCAAATAAAAAAAATCTGATATCGTCTAGTTATTAACATAGCTATGGAAAATTGCCGCTTGAAATAGATGATCAAAATGAATACTTCCGATTTACCCATGATTCCAATGGTTATTTTCCATAGCCATAACAAACTGTTAAATTACCAGAGAGTAATTCCTGATTGATCACCGGCAGGTTGGACCATCCTTGTCCAGTGATACCTGGCTCAATGTTTCCACACGTCTGTAATCGCTTCTTCAAAAGTATAGATGTAGTGTAGGAAGGAATGGATATTCTGGGTTAGTTTATGTTAGTTTACTCTTGTTCAAACTATTTCCCTTGTATATTGTTTTCTTCTCAAAAGACTCAAACGAACTACCCAATCAATGTCAGCCAAGTAGTCAACTGAGCAGTGTTCAAAACCCCTGCTGGTGAATGATTATAGGCCAATATAATTGGGGATTATAATAATCCAATAGGGGAATCCCTTTCTTAACCAAGCAGTATAATGGAATGACGGAATGACATTTAACGCCTGCCTACTCCCGTCCTCCAAAGCATCGGGACGGAAGAGTCAGTGTCTACAAACCTGCGCGGCTGGGGTGGGATTCATATGGGGATGGGTCAAGAGTCAAAACCTATGAATTTACCATATTTCGGGGAATAAACGTCCAATAACCAGCTATTATAGGGTACCTAATGTACCGGGGTTTTGACCCATAGCCATATATGCTTTATGTTTATACTCTACAACACAGAAACAACTTTCCAACAGTTCATTTGGTGGTGGGTTGCTAATCAAACATGGTTTTTGAACGCAAGTAATTATGTTTGATAGGATTGATTTCAATATCATCCAGCCAACGAAAAAAAGGTCCTTTCAAGAACAAGAGATGAATATTGATCTGGGTCAACATGTGTTTCCGCTCATTTTTAGGATCGCGAACATCCCATTTCTGGGTACCCAATTACTTAAGGTATACTCATACTGCCATGTCCATACCTATGATGCTGAACACTGTTGGCTGTTGACAAACCGCACAGACTCCTACATGTTTCCTTGGTGGCTAAGACACCTGTATATGCTGTATTAATGGCTAACCTTACATAAAATAGGGGTATATACCCCCAGTCATCATCCATTTATAGATGGGATTTTCATGGATTTTCCATGAAATAAACCATCCAGCGATATATTGGGGTAACCGGGTAACCCCATTTTCAACCTACCCCCAACACATTCAGCCACGGTTGCTGATGGGATCCCAGCCCACCTGTGTCAAAGATGCAGGGAAGACGAAGGCCTCAACATGGGGAGACAAGCAATCACCGGGATCAACAAGAAAAACATGATAAAACATGCAATATCTAAATGTCAAACATGCATATGTGTGTCTGTGTCTGTGTGTCCGAAGATATTTCTTTGGATACATGCAAACAATCAAACACACACGCTCTCTAAATATGCGCACATGTGAGAGAGAGTGGGACATGGGTGCAAAGTTGTGTCATTCCTGAAATTGCAAACATTAGATCCATTGGTACATTAGAATTAGAATACATTAGATCCATTATGGTATAGGTAGTGTGCAGCAAATCTCCACAAACTACCTGTCCTAAACCTAAGGCCCATCTCCCCGAAAGGTCAACATGGCGGGTTTCCACAATGGCCACGGCCACATGGGACCAGTTGTTGCTGTTGCTTTTGCAAGCCACATTGCATTTGACTAGCTATCTATCTGTATTTATCTATGTCTATATCTATCTATAATTCTATATCCATCTGCATCTAGTTGTCGATTTATCTATCTAATGATACCAGTGCCATAAGAGTTGCTTTTCTTGATTTGCATAGCCAATATTGGCATTTTGTACCTAGAAAGGAAGGGGTAACTCTTTCCCTGACTAACTGTTTCTTTGCTAACTCTTTCTTTGACTACCTCATATATCCTGACTAACTCTTTCTTTGACTAACTCTTTCCCTCACTAACTCTTTCTTTGACTGACTCTTTCCCTCACTAACTCTTTCTTTGACTAACTCTTTCCCTCACTAACTCTTTCCCTGACTAACTGTTTCTTTGACTAACTCTTTCTTTGACTAACTCTTTCCCTGACGAACTCTTTCTTTGCTAACTCTTTCTTTGACTAACTCTTTCCCTGACGAACTCTTTCTTTGCTAACTCTTTCTTTGACTAACTCTTTCCCTGACTAACTGTTTCTTTGCCTAACTCTTTCTTTGACTAACTCTTTCCCTGACGAACTCTTTCTTTGCTAACTCTTTCTTTGACTAACTCTTTCCCTGACTAACTGTTTCTTTGCTAACTCTTTCTTTGACTAACTCTTTCCCTCACTAACTCTTTCTTTGACTAACTCTTTCCCTGACTAACTCTTTCTTTGCTAACTCTTTCTTTGACTAACTCTTTCTTTGACTAACTCTTTCTTTGACTAACTCTTTCCCTCACTAACTCTTTCTTTGACTAACTTTTTCTTTGACTAACTCTTTCCCTGACTAACTCTTTCTTTGACTAACTCTTTCCCTGACTAACTGTTTCTTTGACTAACTCTTTCTTTGACTAACTCTTTCCCTGACTAACTCTTTCTTTGACTAACTCTTTCCCTGACTAACTGTTTCTTTGACTAACTCTTTCTTTGACTAACTCTTTCCCTGACTAACTATTTCTTTGACTAACTCTTTCTTTGACTAACTCTTTCCCTCACTAACTCTTTCTTTGACTAACTCTTTCCCTGACTAACTGTTTCTTTGCTAACTCTTTCTTTGACTAACTCTTTCCCTCACTCACTCTTTCTTTGACGAACTCTTTCTTTGACTAACTCTTTCCCTGACGAACTCTTTCTTTGCTAACTCTTTCCCTCACTAACTCTTTCTTTGACTAACTCTTTCCCTGACTAACTGTTTCTTTGCTAACTCTTTCTTTGACTAACTCTTTCTTTGACTAACTCTTTCCCTCACTAACTCTTTCTTTGACTAACTCTTTCTTTGACTAACTCTTTCCCTCACTAACTCTTTCTTTGACTGACTCTTTCCCTCACTAACTCTTTCTTTGACTAACTTTTTTCCTCACTAACTCTTTCCCTGACATTCTAAAAGTCCGTAACACGGAAGTTTCTCCCCCTAAACTTCCTTTGATGACCTGTATGTGTATTTTTTCCGGATTCTAGCAACATGTGTGGGAACTATTTGAATTTGCTGCCCAATATCTGCAAACCTTTTGGGATTGATTCAGGTGAGTTATTTAAACATAGCTAAACCATCAACCATTTTACATAGCCAAGCCATGCTAAACCATCAACCATTTTTGTGGCTAAAACCTCATTCTTGTTGGTGATTACATCATATTACATCCCCACGTTTGTTAGCCCGATCCCAATTACTATGTTCATTTTAAGAGTCACCAATGCCAGCCACCAGCTTCTTTCAGTGCAGGATTTGGCCGTGCCGAGTGTGCCGAGGGACGTGTTCCGACGCGGTGGAAAAGCTGGCCATGTGCCCAGACATGCTCACGGCCTCAAGGGCGACGAAAGACGACGAAAAGCGACGAGGTTGGTTGGGAGCATAATATAAAGTGCACAGCTGAAATTTTTTGGATGGTTTTTGAAGCCAACCAAGGTGAGGCGATATCATGGGGATTTTAAAGGGATATCATGGGATATATATATACGTATATATATATATATACACATGTGTATATATATATATATATACATGTGTATATATATATATGCAATTACAGTATATGAACATACATACTGATTATACTGTATATATATATAACTGATACAACTATCAGAAGGAATTACCTATAGACATTGACTTAATCACATCCAACGTTGGGGATATCATAGGGATATGATGGGACATACTGAATTACATACAGCTAACCCACCCGAATCATTACTGTTCTTGTTCGGGGTGGGATGAATCTTGACTCGTTACGACTTTTGTAGGGGGGTTCCAATTGCCACGGTTGATTATGTTGATTGCCGCAGGGCGATGAATGGGATCACCAAAAATTACAGATCTGACTGCAGCATCTGGCAGAATTGTTTGCCAGCCACTTGCTAGGATGCAAAGGACAAAACCTGGGATTTGTGTTGCATTTTTTCATTTGTGTATGCACCCACGATTCCAGGTGATTGTCAACAAACCATAGATATGTTCATATGATTGGATTTGAGAAAAACAAGTGTCATGGAGTGTATACAAAATATCCATCGGATGATGTACAAAAGCCAACAATTGTGGACCTTCACAATGCCATCTGATAATCAAAAATGGACACCAACATGACCCGTGTGACCCATGTGTTGATGATTTGCATACTCAACATGGTGATTCCTCATTGGAAGTATTACCGGAGGGCAGGTTGGTGTTCTTGGTTCAAACCACCTGTTCCTTAGACCATTTTTTTTTTCGCTGCTAAAACCCACACTCCTGTAGTGAAACCAATATTTCTTCTTACGTCGACCATGTTTAATGGGTGGGGATATACATTACGAGATGGTTCACCTACCCTCTGGTTATTTAACATAGCTATGGCAGCTATGGCCCATAGAAACAGATGATTTTCCCAGCTAGAAACCTCCATTTATCCATGAGATTTTCCGAGAATCTTCTTCCCGCAACCCAAAAAAAACCATCCCCACCTGTCCGAATCGCGCGCCCGCCGAGACCTGCGAGCCGCGGAGTTCCATCCATTTTTTGCGTCTGGATGGGTTGATGGTTCAAAAATCCAAACCGGAAACATAAAAAAAGTACTTTGAGAAAAATGGGCTTTCCTGCCGATGTTTGCCTTCATGATATTATGATATTTGGTTTAAACTGTTTAAACCAAAACACACAAGCTTCAAATGGCTCCTGAGCTGTGACTCAGACTCATACCAAAATGGTTCCTTGTCCTTGGGTGTACCTTCACCGCACGGCTGCACATGTCGTGCGTCCATAGGGAATATCACCCAACCTTATGTAACTTATGTAACTGCAACTGTACCATTGTACCATGGTCACAGGAAATGTACATCAAGCTTTTGGCTACCCCATATGAAATGGTTTACATTCACCACACTCACCAGGCTCACGAAGTCGCACCTTGCTCGGCGAAAGTTTGGATTGCTGCACCCACTTCTGACCTCGCGAGTCACTCACCGGAAGGGGGAAGTCGAGGCCACTCGGCAAACGATTGGATTTATGGTACAAAATATCAACAAATAGATTATAAATGTACAATAAACGATATTGTAACCAGGTGAGGCAATCTTTTAACTATATGGTATATATGAGTCAAACTCCTGGTACCCTGGTGAACAAACAAAGCTAATATGGTCATCCGCTTCCATGTCAGGTTTTGGTCTCTCACCATGGAAGAAGTCCATGTGAAATATGAGCCTGGAGACAACAAATTGACAGCAAAGATTTGACGATGTTCCTCTGGGAAGTCTGCAATTCTGACTTCCACGTTAATTGAGCATCTCGCTTGTATGGATACTGTAACCAAAACATCTTTGAAGCCAAACGATGATGGCACAACCACCTCTCAACGTGGTACTCCCACAGTTCTGCAAGACTAGTATAAAGTATAGTCTGTCAGTTTGTGTAATCATCCCAGTAATGTAATTGTCATATCTGGTTTGATTTTGATTCCACTCTATTCCCATTCTATCTCCAGTATATCCGCAATGTGGTAAACCCCCCCACAAAGCCTCCCCAATGGGCCTGGTTTCATATTGTAAATATACCCCTTGGATGATTGAAACTGCCCAAGGTCAGGACCTCCGGGCTTTCCTAGTCTTCATCTTTGAGGACAGCCTTTATATCCCCATTCAACTACTATATTCGTTGCTTCAATCCCCATGATTTTCATGGTGAAACCACCATTCTTCACAAAATTCATCGCTTCGATGGATAAACCATGATAAACTACCATGTTTCACCATGTTTGATGGATAACTCCTCATCTTTATCGGATAACTCACCATTTTATCTTGGTTTCATCCCCCCTCTTGAAAGGATAACCCCATGAACCCCTCGCCGTCTGTCCACGCCCACCTTGGCGCACGAAGATGTAGCCTGAGCCGCTCTTGTCCACGCCGCTGTGCTCGTCCCCCGCCGCACCGATGGCGGCCTCAGGCTCTGGAGATGTCAAGAAAGGATATACCACCACACCCCCCCAAAGAAAATGGTAGAAGTTGGGAAAAAAACACTATACTAAAGCTGAACAAAATGTAAACAGTACCTCATTGTTTTTGAGTTGCTTCTGGTGGTTATTGTAAGCTAGATATGGATGACGTTGGGTTTATCAAAAGAAATGTGGGTTTTAAGAAAGAACATGACAATACGAACCATGATGCCAATGTAACATGCATGTCATGCATGTCATACATGTGTGTACATATATAACCGGATAGTATCAAGCAATATAGAACAGACATGAACAGACCTTGTAAGATGAGTGTGTTTTTTATTTTTGAACTTTTCCATGGGAGTTTGGGTTAATCTATTATGTCCATCTATTATTTTCAGGAGAACACAAACAAACTTGTGACTGGGGTGATGCTCCATGCGTAATCCAATGCATCATCATTAACTATAAGCAGGTCCACTCAAAACTGCATGTTCTCAACATTTAGTCTCTTCAAACCACATTGTGAAAAGGATTAAACCCAGCCCCTGAAGAATCTGTGGTCTTTATGCAGGTGAATGATCCTAAGGTGGACCTGGAAACTTTTGGGATCGAAGAACTTAACAATGTGAAGCTTAGCATGCTAAGTAAATGACAGCCGGACGGAATCCACAAGTTCCTAGGGTGTGTTTTGGGAGGTTTTGGGGCACAGCAACGTTTTCCAGCGATTTGGATGAACTTGATAGGAAAAAAGAACATGGGTCATGCGAGGGTCGAAAAGCATGTTCTTCTCGTTCATTTAAACGCTCTGTGATCCATGATTTGTATTGATGTCTGGTCTCCACTTGCTGCCCTACCACTTTCCATCAAGTTGGTTTGCATCCACGGATGATAAAAATCCCATAAAAATCCCTTTCTGAAAGTGGATTCTTCCAGTACTGTTCCATTCTAATGTGGATAAGACAATAATAAACCATCCCCCAAATAGGTGGTATAGATCATTCCCAAATGGATGGTTTCTTATTGTGTTGCCCACATTATTCCCATTGAAGCACCTTTTCTAGTCATGGTCGATGACATTCCGGCGACACATTGGGCGTCCGGCGATTCCCGAGGACATCGAGACGCTGCGGCCAAAGCCGTCATTGGCATCGCCGTCCTGGACTTCTGTGGTGAAATTGGTCGATTCACTTCCTGTTGTTCCAAAGAAAGCTACTTATAGATAAAAAATATATATATATATTATATATATATGTATCATATGCACAAAACAATGCAAATATCTGTATGTATATATATATATTATGAATATATTGTGTACATGTGGACAAATCGACAAATCGTCTACATTGCAGAGGTATAGCCAGGACTCTAACCCACATGTTTTCAGGTGTTTTCTGGTTGAGCCTCAATTTCTAAAGGCAAAGATCCATTCATTCCACTTAGAAAACATATCTGAACCATAAACAAACAAAACTCGGGAGATCATCATGGTTTGGATATGTTTTAATATGTGTTAATTTGTTTTGTGTTAATATGTATTAACATGTGTTATTATGTTTTAAGATGTTTAATATGTTTCAATAGTTTTAATATGGTTTTAATTTTAATATGATTTACTACACCGACCAAAGCCTGCCACGTACAACCCATGACGCAAAAGCCCTCAAAGCCTGTGACTTGCTTGGCCAAATGTTGGCCAATCACACTGCCCTAGGTTGTTATAGCTAAGTTGGCTTTGTTCAGTAGGCTTTCACTAGGCTTTCTGGTAAATCAAACTAGCTAATGAGAATTATAAACCAAGAAACCTAATTGGGTTGATTCAAGTATATAATAAAACCGGAGATGCCAGACATGGATAAGATCTTCAGTTTAACCAAACTCAACTGAGGATTGGACTATTAGAGGATCAACATTGGGAGTTGAACCAAACAGCAAAAATGGAAGTTTCACCAACCAAACAATGGAGATCTAGATTATCTATTAACCAACGGCAACAAATGGAAAATGGAAAATCGGAGTGGGAATGTATGATGCGACAATGGTGGCTAATTGTCCGCTCAATCTTCACCTACTAACACAGCCATTGACAATCTATGGTGGAATCTCAAGGCTGGAACTCAAAAAAAAAGAACTTGGACAATGAGTTTCCAAACATTGCGTTTCATGAACATGCCAACAAACCACCAGAAACCTAAACAAACGGATCACAATCTAACTTTCAGCTTCGTCGGTAAAGCTGGTATTTGTGGGCGAGATTTTGCCGAACATGTCCATCAGCCGTATCTGCATACTCCTCTTGCAATCTGACACACCAATGAAAAAAATAAAACATCTACATGTATTTATAGATGACTAAATGTTTCTCCCAGTAAAGACTACAGAAACAATACATCATCAAACAAAACTCACACGAAATATACAAAAAGAAATCAAAAAAAACTGAACAAAAGAAGATTGAACCTATCAACCATCCATTCCTCGTTTCTCAGATTACCCTGCAGTAAATTGAACATTGATATGGACATCCCACCGTTTGCAGATAGTTCCTTGGAAAGCCGCTTTCCACATCGTTGATTCGCTCACCGGAGAGGCACTCAAAATATAGACGTATAAATACCTATATGATGTTTGATTCTATTTTCTCCCAAGAATTAAGGTTTCAAAGTTTCAAATATGTACAGTATATATAATAATATATATATATATATAATTTATGATAATATATATATATATACAATATGCATATACATATATCCATATATATATATATGTATATATACATATATATATATGTATATATATATATATATCCCCATAAAGCATGCAGTAATATCCCATCATGAATCCCAAGAAACCAGTGGTCATCTACCGGGGAACTCAAAGGAACAGCAAGGCGCCTCGGCCAAGAGTTCGGCAACTTCCACCCAATGCCTCAATGCGCGACGAAAAATGTTCGAGTAGGGTAGCACACCAAAATAATCTGGAAGAGTTTGGCATAATTACATCAAATCACAAGAAAAACATCATGAATCATGATATATCATGTGTTTTTCATTGTTTCACCGGGGAAAATCTTTGGGACTGAATGAACATGAATCCATATATATATATATAATATTATATAATCATACCCAACATATGCCTTTACCCAAATGAGAGGCTAGTCAAATGTGTGAACTCTTGCATGAATTCGAGACCCAAGAAGAGATGGCATATGGCCGAATCGCAGCTAATTGAGCATCTTAAAAGCATCACCACAAACAATCTGACTGTCGATACTTACTTTGTAGATCTTTGTAGGATACAGTAAATCAATTTGGCAGGAGAATGCATTTTTCATGTATGATAAACTGAAACTAATCCAACCTATCATTCACCGAGCTTTACCCACTACTAACAGTCGAAGGGAGTGACCTCTCCACATCATCGACGAGGTTCCCTCCTTTTTGCTTGAAAATGTAGGCGGCACCATCACCCCTGGGCGTCGGGAGAGGATGCCCAACCTGTACACCATTTGCCGAACGAACAACTAAACAACTGAACACCAACCGTAAGAACAACAGGTAACAACAACAAAAAAAACAAGTCCCCGCAGGAACAATAAGAAGGAGAAGCAAACAATCAAGATATATCTTGCCTTCAGCAAGCCTGTGAGGAGCACAATGTCTTTCAGATTCTCACTTACAGTACAGAACATTTTCTTGACATAGATGTATTCCGATGAATTTATATTCCAACTGACTCTGGCTTAATGAGGTTATTATTAGATCCTCGCTTGAAAAAAATGATGTTTCTTTTTTCTCAGCGATATGCCAAACATTGAATCCCATGTTGGCGTGTCATTCTGATTTCACCAAGGAAGTGTGATGACAACCACCAACTCGTTCAAAAAAGCATTGGTAATACGGAGCTATCCTAAAATAGGTGGTATCCCAAATCATCAAAACCATTGGACCATGACTTCGTCTTGAAACCCATTGTGACTTGGGACCCCTCGGCCTTCAGAAACCCCATAGTTCACATCTCGTGTCTAGGTCCGGACTGCAACGATCTGGCGATTTCTTGAGCCATTTTGGGAATCAATCCCCCTCCTATGACCATAATATGTATTATACAACCGTCAAGGGGCTTCGCCTGGGTTTGGTCTCCGAAACAAAAACCCTCCAAACTTCCTAAAACCATGATGTATATGTGTAATACAATATACATTAATATATAATTATATATGTATATATGTATACATATGTAGATATGCATACATAACCATAATATAACAATCATCCCCCAAACGTCCAGGAAACACCAAGGCACTTCCACTTGTTGGTGTGTCCAAAGGCACCAATGATCGCCATATCTCCGGACCTCGATGGGAACATCATTCCCGATGTGAAGATGGCCATGGAAAACCTATATGATGTTTTTACATAGAAACCTTTATGGTAAAACCAAGAACTACATCATGAAACCAATGGTGGGAATACCTAGAGTTTTTACATAGAAACCTAGACTTTCTCCAGGAACATGATCTACATTCATGGTGATAAATAACCACATCGAAAACTGTCAGTGTAAAAAGGAGGGGACGGGTAACGGGTATCCTTCCTGAAGTTGCTAGGAAATGATCCAGAGGTCATCAAGCCCATGCTGGAATGAAAAACCAGAATGGGTGTGTAAATTTAAGATTCTATGAACATGGATTGATGACCATGTTGATATGGGTTAGTGGAAATCCTCCCATTCCAATGGATTCGAAAATCATGTTCCCCATTCAATAACTAGATATGGGGAGGTTTAATACCTTATTTCCAAGGATTATATGATCCCATCTGATAAAACACAGAATGGGATAACTTAGATGAAACATCCCCGAAAGTGTTTGGTCACGCACTTGCGGAGCAAGATGCAGTGAATTATTTGAACTAGTGAACTAAAAAAGATTGAATCACCAAAACGTGAGATTGATCGACAATAGAGGTTGGGAATCACATTCATGTAGTATATAGATGTATATAGTATTACAGAGGAAGTTCCGGATTGCTGGGTTCTCCGGCTACTGTACCAGCTGAACTGTGACCATAGTTGCTAACTATATCTAGCTCTCAAACCAGTTACGATCAATGAAACAGCCCCAGGATAAGGGAACCAGTGCATGACCGGTCTTAGATACTCTGCAAACAAGCGATTTCTTGTTGGTGGGTTTATTGTCCCAATTGCACGAAACCTACCTTTAAAAGATAGGCTGACCCAGAACAGAACTACGAGGGTTCACAATTCAAGTTTGGGCCGCCAAGGCCGTTTGCAGATGAGTCGAATTTGAGGGATATCTTGGACTGACAACTTAAGTTTTCATATGGGTACCGGGTTCAGACCCAGGTGCCCTGGTCAACACCAAAACAGGCAAATGAAGGTTCAACCCGCAAAAAACATGCGATGAAACACTTGACCCTTTTTGATCTATCCCCATCTGTGCGATGGTCAAAACATGGTATATTGGCTATGGTTATCCATCCAATAATGGGAATCCTGATTCTATTCTATCTATGTCCAGGACGTGAATTGCAATCGTTTTTTTTGCTTGCCAATGAAAACAATCTGTGTTTTTAGGCCCAGAAAGCCACAACATGTTGTTAAGCTGCTGAGTATTAGACCGGTCATGCCTGTTGAACCAGCAAAACATTTTAGACCCAAAAACGGAGCCACCAAGCCTGTTCCCTTGGGCCCGGACATGCCAACACTACAGCCGAAACGGTCGCCGGCTCTAGTTTCCTGGGCAGCCGATGGTCAGTTCACTCAGCCAATCCAGGCTTGCGAAACAAAACATACCCTCTGGTTATTTAACATAGCCATGGAAAATGGCCCATTTATATATGATTTTCCCATTAAAACCTCCATTTATAAGGGATTTTCCATGGCTATGTTAAATAACCAGATGGTATTTGTTTTCTGTTTCCGAACCACAAAACCAGGAACCTCTGCTTCCGAAACCATAGAAGTTGTAAGTTGGGATGTTTTCAGCCATCAGTTGCTGGCCATCCCAGGGGTCCGTCCGCCCAAGCCTTGGCCACCAACTTGGAAGGCTTTGACCTAGCCCGGCTGATCATTTAATGGATGGTTCACCAACCTTTGAGAGTATATATATTTATTATTATATTATACAATGTTATATTATATAGTATATTATATTATTTTATATTATATTATTTTATATTATATATTATATATAATATATTAAATATTATATATTATATATTAAATATTATATATTATATATTATATATTATATAATATATTATTATATATTATATATACAATATTATATTATATATATATAATATATATTAAATTATTTTATATTATATATATTATATATTATATTATTATATATTATATATTATATTATATTATATTATATATATTATATATATTATATATTATATTATTTTATATTATATATTATATATGATATAATATATATTATATTATATTATTTCAAATTTTATATTATATATTAAATATTATATATTATATATTATATATTATATATATTATATATATATTATATATATTATATATAATATATATTATATTATATATTATATATTATATATTATATATTATATTATTATATATTATATATTATATTATTATATATTATATTATTTCATATCATATATTTTATATAATATATAATATATATAATATATATATAATATATATAATATAATATATATATATATTATATATAATATATGATATATATATATTATATTTATTATTATAATATATAATGCTATATTATATAGTATATTATATTATATATTATATATTATATATTAAATATTATATATTATACATTATATGTTATATATTATATTATAATATTTTAATATTATATTAATTCATATTATACTTTATATTATATTAATCTACATTATATTAATTCATATTATACTTTGTAATATATCAATTTATGTTATATTATATACTGTATTATACAATATCAAATTATATTTTACATGTATACATCACATACTTTAATATATATATACATATTATATTTAGATTATATATCATATATTATATATCATATATTATATATAATATTAATATATATATATATATTATACAATATATATATATATATATATTATATATTATAATATGTATATATTGTATATTATATATATATTGTATAATACATATATATGACTATATATATATGATTATATTTATATGATTATATATATATATATGGATACATGTGTAATATATATATATATATATATCTGGATACATGCAATATATATTATATACAGTTGCATGTATGATGTGGATTGGCATATGTATGTACGATTATCTATATTATATATGCATATAAATTGAGGAACAAACTCGGTTGAGCTGGCATCGTCGCATCCAACGTGGCCATCCCACATGATTTGTAGACTTCTCTTTGTATCAGTAGAACCTGAGGCATTCTGTTGCCGAAAACTAAATAACTTAGGAAACAGCAACAGTTCGAGGGTTGAGCCAATCTACCTGTACCAATTATATGTTCCAATTTTTGACCCCAGAATGATGGTTCATCCCATTTTATCCCAAAAATGATCATTTAGGAGCCCCAATTGGGGGGAGTGAACATGAACGAACATCCCCGTAGTAATCCCAGCCATTTTTGGTGTTCACCAGAGTACCACCCCCTTGACCCATAGCAATTCCAGTATGTCTAGTATTCAAACAATCATGCAAGATCATTTTTAAGGTGGTTGTCCCTTCCAGTTCCAAGTTGGTTTATCACATTTTGTAACCCTCACTAAGTCTAGATATGATTCAGAATTCAACGCCCCAACCATTGCAGTTCTCACCAACTTCGCCATCCTTTAGCATGGCCCCATGGCCCCCCATGGCTGCGCTGTGCCCCCGTGCCAGGCGCTGCCGTTCCAGGTGTAGAGGATCACCGAACCGCTACCAGGACCACGGACATTGTCCTGGAGCCGATCTCGGGGGATCTGATCTAAGGCCCAGAGATCATTCTGAAGGGAATCCAGATAGGTTTAAATATGTTGAACTCCTTCTCAACATTGACGGAATTTGATGTTGATGAAATGAAAAAACGGACCTTTGCTAAATCACCAAACTCCTCCTGAGGTTTCGTTTTTGAACCCAAGACATGCGCCCAAATCATCAAATCATCGTCAAACAAATGTGAGCAAATCAATGAGCATCGAGATCCATTGCAACTGGAGACTAACCGTAACTAACCCGAACAAATAATAGGGATGCAATCAATGAACCATGACATTTTCGAACCATTTTGACTATTTCTTATATCTCAAAACAACCATCAACATTTTCCACCAACCATTTGTTTTTGAACCATAGCTCCAATGACACCAACTTCAGTGAAAACCTCTCGGCCTCAGTTGGAGGTGCATGTCCCCCAGATATGGTGTATGTATATATATATATACCATCTGGTTATTTAACGTAGCGAACTGGAGAATCACCATTTTAGTAGGTGATTTAAATCATTCAAAAACATCTATTTCTATGGGCCATCTATACCATGGCTATGTTAAATAACCAGAGGGTATATATATATATATGCGTTCCCATCACCAAAGATCGTTCATGAGCAAAATTTGATGGGCATATTCCTTCATTTACCCAAGCAAAATCTGTCGAAAGCGAACCGAAATACAACAAATCCAGCAGCCAGAGATGTCCCTATATACCCGCAGAAATCATTCTGAACTCCCTATGTTTTATTTTGAAACTTTTATGATTTGCCATATCAATCCATATCATACCTATATTGTAATATATATCATATTACAGTAAAACATAATCAATGATATATTATCCTGAATCAAACTACTTCAGTATTTTTTTACATGTTTTTTTATATCCTTTTTTGCATCACATATCGTCTTCGTGATTCATGACCCCGTTGTCTCCCAAGACGTCTCTCAGCAACGCCTCTTGCGCCCCGATCAGGATGGTGTCGTTGGTCTGACTGAGACTGGACCCGAAGTTGGCGTTCGAAACCTGAGCATTTCACCACACGAAACCGGGTGCAGTTATCAGTTGAGGTTGTTAATACAAGAAATTAGGATATAACGTGATATAACCCCTGTTTAAACAAAAACTAGTCATATGAGAACCCTAGACCAATCTTCCGCCATTTTTCTGGTGGTTCAATGAATCAGCCATGTTCGGCCAACTGATTTCGAGTGGATAGATGTAAACCAAGCGCCTCTGGAGCCAGTAGTCGATGTTTCAAGACCTCAACTGCGAGGTCTCGTTGATGGCTTTATTGCTGGTCATGGTACCCTGGGACTCTGCACAATCGCTGGTATGTAGATGTGTTCACCCTCCCCCAAAATATGTGTAGGTTTTGGTTCATTCCGGTTGAACAAGCAAAACTGGGGAATAACATGGATGAAAAAAAAGGGTGGCTTCTGATCCTGTTCATCTCCGTGATATTAAGCACAATACGAGACTCCAAAGTGAAGAGATGTGAAGAGATCCGAGACTGAACCAGGGGTTCCAAAGGGCATATATATATATATTTGAGCTTAGGGGGTTGGGATTCTATGGTTTTCATTATGCAACCAAATAAGGGAAAGTCTGAAGAAGACTCCGGGAAACAAAATAAACAATGCAAGTGGCTTAAACATGCTTAAAACCCTTATGATCATGGCAGCTAATTTATGGGATACATAATATAATATACATATATAATCATATATATATATATTATCTCTTTGATGATCGGACTAATCCAGACCTTGGGACGCTGCAATGCCCGACGTGCCCGGATCAATATGATCAATGGGGAACTACACTGCCTGAAGGAGGGATTTAGGAACCAAACATTCAGGGTTCAAGAAACAAAAACAGGTGACTTCATCAAGAAACAAATGAGCCAACTAGCAGTTGTCAGTAGCAATTCATGGGTTGTTGACAACCTGCGTAAGAGACTTTATAAACGGCTTATGTAACAGCATCAATAAATAAACCGGAGGGTATTAAGAGCGGTGTGACTGCACCAGAGTTTGGCAGCTTCTCCATGGTAGATCTGATGTCAGCATCAATGGTGGGTTGTGTTTCTAATATACTTGGTGGTTCACCCCAGCAATCGTGAATGGATTCGTTCACCCCAGTGAAATCACTGGACTAACTCTACTTGCCTGCTTTCTTTGTGCAGTTTTAATCCACTTACGAACTCGGCCGAAGCACCTAGCTACAATCGAATTGCCATCCTGTTCTACTACCTTTCGGCTTCGTCTACACTGGAACTTCAATTTAGCAGACAACCCTTGCCCTACTTCAAATCATGGGTAGATTCCATGCTCAAGGCTTCGCTACACGACACGATCTGAGATACCTGCCTGGATCAATCCGATCAACCCCCACTCTATTCATCCACATCCCTAGACCCTCAGACCCCCCCAAAAATGCTAGAAGTACTACCATTAGAGGAGTCAAACAGCCAGAAATTTCGACAAACGCAGGGTCTAGGTCTAAGTAGATTTCCACCCAAAATTCGCCCATGAGCGTTGCATGCACCGAGGCACCCATCCGCGCTTCTCGTGGCGGTGGAAGATGTACAGCGCCGCTGAGACGTTCTTCTCTGCGTTGCCGGCAGCGACCACCACTGCGCGATCTGCCATGATGCTGACCCTGGCACCAAGGCGGGTGTAAGAAGTGGGAGCCAAAGTTATATCATAATGAATGTGCATGGTATATAAATGTTGTATGTAATTGTATGTGTGTATATATATACACTATAATGATATATAATGATATATATATATATATGACATGATGCCATGGATGTCTATGTATATTGATATACTTAATGAATCTGAGATATATCAACATGGGGATTTATAACAAATACTGTTAGATGGTTTTCATTGACAGTGGCTAGTTGCAGGATTGTCCTATATAGATCTATATAGTTGGAAGCTGAACATTTGGATCAATGAGGGTATGTCTACACCTTCTATACTATGCTAGGCAACTTATGGCATTGAAAAGTTTCAGTGCTAGTTGAAATGAGGGACAGAAGATACTGCTGCCCTTAGCTGCTGCCCTGAGAGGATCGCCTCATGGATTCCTCTGCGTTGACTGTGGATTAAGTTTAGGAAGTAAGTTGGCTGGGTTGTGGCAATACCATCTATAGATATCTATAGGATATCATGATGTTATTCCTCTGGATTGTAGCACACTTTGGTTCTTTGGGATGAGATTGATGAATACTGAACCAGCAGGGGATCAACCAGCAAGCACGTCTCTTACTGTTTTTCCTGAGTACCTTCCTTTGGTCCCTGGCTCAACTGCGCAACTTCTCAAGGCTATCGCAGCCTTGATGGTCTAAGCATGAGACCTATAGTTTTACCCGGTTTGGAGAGCCTTTTTTTTGTGGAATCGCCATGCAACATCCTGGTGCTGCGGTCACGGTGCTTCATAACTATAACACAGAAATAATAAACATACAGCAGGAATACAGTAGTTACAGTAATCATGATAACGATGCTAAACATAATATATATATATATAAAAAACTGAACACTGATTACAGTGCAACTATCATGTGGTTGGGAAACTCTATTCAGACCAAACAGCTCCGAGATTTTGTTGAAAATATGGGTACCCATAGTTCAGCTCACCTCTCCCCCCATTCACCAAGGGCAAAATCATCCAACTTCAAACCTCCATTCACCATAGAAATCATCATTTATTAGAGGATTTCTCCTCTATTTATAGATGATTTTCCCATTCAAACCCGCCATTTATGATTTGTTCATAAACACACTCCATTTTCAGATGACTTTCCCATCAACAAATATATTTATAGATTTATAGATGACTCTCCCATTCAACAAAAAGTATATATCTGGTTGGTGGTTTCAACCCCTCTGAAAAATATTAGTCAAATGGGATTATTGTTCCCAATATATGGAAAAATAAAAAATGTTCCAAACCACCAACCAGATATGTATGATAGAGGGATCTATCCAGCTTCGCAGCCGTTCCCGCAGTTCCCGCCATCACCTGGCACCGAAACGCTCAAAGTCCACTGCATCCTGGTGAGACACGCAGCTGAAACAAATGCGACTGTCATTGGGTATCATAATCCAATTTCAATCAATTTCTATTGTATAGAATACAATTTCGCAACAAAAAAGAGTACTTGAAACCATCAGCTAGACACACTAGTTCTTTCCTTCTAATATTACAGCAATCAGCCCACCCATATGTGCCGAAGGATTCCTATTTCATTGGCTGCACCCTGCAGATACAGTAGATATATGTAGATATGAACAATCCACCAAGAATGTTCAAAGCTAACGATCCAATCAATTTATCCAGCTATTAATCAATCAATCAAGGCACGCGATGCTCAATACCCATTGAACCCGTTAACTTTGCGTTCTCCCTGTTCAACCCAACAGCTGTGATCAAGATCGTTAGTTTTTATGCATCTGAACAGTTCCCCACAGATTTCTAAGATATCCTTCGGTACTCAATTGAACATTGAACATTCATCATTTACTGTATATGCATTTACTGCATATCAATTTTGATTTGTAGATGATTTAACACCATCATTCACCATTTATATATATATATATATCAATTTCTAGATGATTTTCGATGCGCCTTGGGCGTAAGCTTTGCCTCTTGCTGCCATACCTGACATGGGTCCACTTGGGCCGAGCCCCTTCCCC